GTAAGGCGTGGTGTTTAGGGTGTTTCTGAGTTTGGTTTGATTCATAAAATAGATTGTGAACACTGTAATTGCCCTTAATTTTAGTTAAATCTATGTAAATGTAAATCTGTGAGATGTCACTACGTTCTACTAAAGCTTTGATGGGCTCCTGCCATGTTGTGGTTTGGCTTTTGTATTAAAGAGCCGTTGTTGTTTTGGTTTCACTGTATACAGGTAGACTCTTGTTTTAATGAGTAAAGGTATAATCTGTTTTGAACAGGAAAAGCTGCTTTTGTATTCTGGATAAAGTTCATACTAGTGGGATTTCACCTATGAAACTAAACAGATCTTTGAAAAATTTAAAAACCATGTGTATTTACACTGTGTCCATTCAGTAGAAGTCGTTTAAATAAAGGCTTCTGCCAATATATGAATATTTAGAGCTGTATTTTATTATTTTACTTTTTTTGAGACAGAGTCTCGCTCTGTCACCTAGCCTGGAGTGCAGTGGTGTGAAGACAACTCATTACAGTCTCCACCTCACAGACTCAAGAAATCCTCCCACCTCAGCTTCCTGAGTAGTTGGGACCACCGGTGTGCGCCACTACACCTGACTTGCTTGCTTGCTTATTTATTGATTTGAGATGGGAGTCTCACTATGTTGCCTAGGCTGGTCTTGAACTCCTGAGCTCAAACAATCCTCCAACCTCGGCCTCTCAGAATGCTGGGTTTACAGGCTTGAGCGACTGTACCTGGCCTTGAATCTGTATTTTAATACTATGCTTACTTGGCTGTGGTGTTGTGAAAAGATCACTGAAAATGGAGTCAGAGACCTGATTTGAGCCTGTCGTTTGTTGTGAGGGAAGGAAGTCAGGGGAGCTAACAACTAAAGGCTCACTATATGCCAGGCACAGAACTAAGTGTGTTTGCATGCATATTTGGTTTTTGTTGCCAGACTTTGAGGTAGGTTTTATGGATAAGGTCTTTAAGGCAGTATCAGCTTCCTTTTTAAAAAGAAATTCTGGAAACTAAGTTTTAGGCTCAAGATCTCTGACTGGTAGGGTCAGCTGAACCACAGGGTCTTAACTGTCCCTGCGATTTATCTCCTTTTGAGGGGGTTTCTTGATAATAGGGTGCGCTTTACCTCATTTTTTGGCTCAAGCATGGATAGGCCACCCTTCCTTTTCATACCCGTAGCTACACTGTACAAATGATATGCTGATAAGATACAAGCTGCTCGTTATTAGTGTGGGTTAATAGACCTGTTTGTTTGCTTGTTTTTAAGTCTATAGCCGCCCCACCCCCAATCTACAATTTCACCTTCTGAGGTTTTAGTTACTCAGTCAAACCAGAGTCTGAAAATGTTCTGATATTTTGAGAGAGAGAAGACTATAGCTACCTAACTTTTGTTACAACATATTGTTATAGTTGTTCATTTTACCATGAGTTATTGCTGTCAGTCTCTTACTATGCCTTAGTTATAAATTAAACTTCATGGGTGTGTATGTATAGGAAAAAACATGGTATATGTAGAGTTTAGTACTATCTGCAGCTTTAGGCATCTGCTATGGGGTTGGGGGGGCGGTCTTGGGAGGTAAGTGGGGACTACTGTACAATTATCAGGCACACACAGGCTCTGGGATTTTACAAATGAGTAAAAGTGGTTCTTGGTATTGAAGCACTTACAGTGGGAGTAGAGTGAAAAACATGAAAATGTGATTTTAGTATATTGTAAATGCTATGATGGTGGGAGTTTGTTTTGTGTAAAACATCCTTTTAATTGGTACTTTAAATTTTAATTTTTTTTCAGAGATCTACCTCTTTAGTCCTACACTTTCAAAGAACTATCTGGACACTGTAGATTTGTCATGATATACTTTATTCGGTATGTTATTAATGCTAGAAACAGCATGGGAAGTCTTCCAGAATATTAGACAAGGACAGTTCTAGTACTAAAACAAAATGCTAACTAATGTCTTCACCAAGACATAAAATATACACCTTAAAAAATAAGTTATATACTGGGCGCAGTGGCTCACACCTGTATTCCCAGCTCTGAGGCGGACGGATCATGAGGTCAGGAGATCGAGACCATCCTGGCCAACACGGTGAAACCCCGTCTCTACTGAGAATACAAAAAATTAGCCGGGCATGGTGGCAGGCACTGGTAGTCCCACCTACTTGGGAGGCCGAGGCAGGAGAATGGCATGAACCTGGGAGGCAGAGCTTGCAGTGAGCAGAGATTGCACCACTGCACTCCAACCTGGTCTCAAAAAAAAAAAAAAAAAAAAAAAAAAGTAATAACACCCACATTATACATCAGTGAAGACTAAACACGTTTACTACCCTAGGCCTTATTGCACAGGGGTGATACCTCCAAGGAGAAATTTGTCTAGGCAATAGATGGACTAGAGGTGATTAGCCTATGAGCGAATGAGGCTACAGATCATTCCTTTTTTTCTGATTCCTTTTTCTTTCTAGTTTCTAGGCCTTTGAAGTGCTAAGTGGTCTTAAGTAATTTGCAGAGAATTAGTTAAGTTCACATGTTAACTAGCAGATAGGAAGAAAACTATTTTTATGAAATTATTTTAAAAAAATAATGCTCCAATTTCTTCCCATCTTTGATGTCCTTTGGTCCCACCTTACTGCCTTCCTAACACCATTTTCTGCTTTACCTCAAAGCTGGGGTCATCTTGAGTTTAGTCTTCTCAATCTGAGTGACTCTCAGCTTTACTCCACTTTAGCACCTCGCAGGCAAGGCCACACTTGGAAACTTTTCACTTGGAATAGTTCTATCTTGGTGGTTTCATCAGCCTTCTTTATGTCAAGCATACTCACATTCCTGCCCATTCTTATCTCTTCATTCCCTTCAGGTCCTCAGTCCTTTTAATTTGTGACTTTTACTCTCTGGGTCCTTCCTTGTTAAATGTCTGCCAGCCAGACTTTAGTTGCCCCCTGTCCGGCTTTCTCTTGCTCAGACCTAAGATTCCTTTAGGTTCTTTCTTTGCCTTTTGAAATCCAGCTCAACTTTTAAGATTGAGTTCACTTGTTACCTTTCCTGCCATCCTTCTGCAGTTCCTAATATTCTTTTCTTTCCCCTAAAGCGCTTTTGTGTGAACAGTCAGCCTTCCACATCTGTGAGTTCCAAATCCATGGATCCTGAATTCATGGATTCAACCAACTGCAGATAAAAAATATTCAGAAAAAAATAAAGCATGGTTGCATCTGTACTGAACATGTCTGTACTGTTTTCTTTGTCATTCTTTTCTAAACAATACAGTATAACAACTATTTACATAGCATTTACATTGTATTAGGGATTATAAGTAATCTAGAGGTGATTTAAAGTATATGAGAGTCTCTCATATCCCAGGAAACCAAGTAAAAAAAAAAGTATATGGGAGGCTATGCATAGGTGATATGCAAATATTACACCACTTTATATCAGGGACTTTTGAGCATCTGTGGATTTTGGTTTCCGAGGGGTGTCCTGGAACGAATTTCCCAGGGATACTAAAGTACGTCTGTCTATCTCATACTATATTTTCCCCTCTATCTTAGGTAGAATATCAGCTCCATTGGGGCGAGGACTTAATAATATTTGTATATTCATTTTATTCAAGTTTGTATAAACTGCTTGGGTCATAATTATTTATTACATGCTTGAGAAAATGAATTTCTTTGCCTCTTTGTTACAGCTCTGAGTAAACAGCCGTCTGCTTTCTCTGTCACCTGTTGGTGATTGAGTATTTCTGTAGAAAGTTACCCACTGACCTCAGGACTCTTACTCTAAATCTTCTTCTTAGGCAGTTTTCTCTGTGCATGAGGTTTTTTGTAAACAAATAGATGAAGCCTGCCCTACTCTTTTATTTGTTCAAGCCAGAAAGTCACCTTCTTCTTCACTTTCCATATTTAAATCATCATTTGGTGGAAGTTCTGGTCTAAGCAACTCTTGAATTCATGTACTTTTCCCTGTCATCGCCAGTGTGGTGTAGAAGCCTCTGTCACCCCTTGTCGGGATGCTGTGCTGCAGCATCTAACCTGGTTGCAGTTATTCTTTTACTCCCTCACCCCACACCCTTTTACTTAAGACACTAAAAGTGGCTTCCATTGTTCTTAAGATAAAGCACAAATTGTTAGTGTGGCCTGTAAAGTGTTGCACAGCCTGACAGAGAATGTCCTGCTAATAATTTGAAGGTACAGTATGATTTTAATACTTTAGGAGAAAATGTTCTAGAAAAAGATGCTTGTTTAGACTTAAGGTGAGGACTCTGCAGTATGAATTAGACACCGGGTGAACTATAAGCTGTCCCCGCATTTGAACATAATTGGTTCTTAGAGCCTGCAACTAAAGATAAGGCAGAATAATTTACTTTGCATTTCCTGCATTCCTCTTTTTGCTTGATAGCAGAAACCCCTCGTGTTAATAAAGGCGGCACAAGAGGCAAAAATACAGACTTTATCACAGTGTTTAAGGAGAGGTGCATGGTTCAGTGTGTGGGGAGAGAGTACCTTTGTACATTTGTTATATGGTGAACTATATGGTTTCTACTTTTAGTACTGTTTGTAAATTTTACTTTTTCTTGGATTTACCTTTTTCAGTTATATTCCATTATGCCTTGCTCCTGTAACAGCTAATTTAATGATGAAAAACTTAGGCTGTGTCTTTATATTTTCTTCCCTCCACAAATGTGGATCTGATAGAGTTAAAAACTAGGTTGTGATATAATATACCTAATTCCTGTAATGGGATCATGTTCCTATAATATGGCTGCAATTTAGTGTAGAATTTTTGTAAATACAAGTGTATTTTAAAAGTTGTATTAAATAAAAACTTAAACTTTCAATGAAATGTTTTAAGGATTTAACCATGCAGCACAAATGAGCACCTTTCTGCAAATACCAACAGTGTAATATGTGTCATTTCTTCACTGATTGTTAGTTTGCTGCAGATTAAAACACAGGTGATCATATTCAGGCTGGTTAGATTAGTGATTTTAATATGAAACCATTGCTTTTAGAATAATCATGGGCCAGACTGGGAAGAAATCTGAGAAGGGACCAGTTTGTTGGCGGAAGCGTGTAAAATCAGAGTACATGCGACTGAGACAGCTCAAGAGGTTCAGACGAGCTGATGAAGTAAAGGTATAATTTTATCTTTTGTGAAAAATGAATATACAATTAAGGATAGGTTTTTTTTCTCTCCTAAGTTCAATAAGTTTTTATTTAAAATAATGTATTTCTAGCTAAGTTTGTATTTACAGTAAGATAAGTGAATACTTGGAAGCTTAGGTTCTTGATCTGTCTTAACATTATGCCATGCACATTAATCAGTGTTTGTTTAGTATACTTTTATTTGCATGCGCAGACTCAGGACCCAGATATAAAGGGATGCATTTCATGATTTTATGTCTTTAAAGTCATTGTGATTTAAAAAAAAATGCACACACACACAAAGTCAACAAAGCATTGCAATAGTTTCCTGTTCTCTAACCACTTGCAATAAAATAATAGATGTGGTGTTTTTGTATTATTTGAATGTGGGAAACTATAGTGTAAAATCTATGTGCACCTAAGAAAATGTTCTTGATAGTTTTGAGAATACACTAGATTTTTAACCAGCTTTAGAGGTGTTACACATTTTCTAACGATGAACAATTTCTCCTCTCCTCTCCTTCATTTTTTTTTAAAGAGTATGTTTAGTTCCAATCGTCAGAAAATTTTGGAAAGAACGGAAATCTTAAACCAAGAATGGAAACAGCGAAGGATACAGCCTGTGCACATCCTGACTTCTGTGAGCTCATTGCGCGGGACTAGGGAGGTTGGTTAACATAACATGTTGTAGTAATTATCATCACCTTTTGGTTTTTGCTTTTGGAACATTTGTGTGGTTATTGGGAGGAAATCATTGACCTCAGGGTGTCCATCTTTTTATTGCTTTCTTTTTAATGTGCAACTGTTAATGGCTGCTGTAGATCACACTATTAGCTATTCCTATAACAGAATTCTAAGTGTTTGGAATATACTTTGAACTAGGTAGATGCCTAGGTTTTATAAGAATGTTGATTAAAAAAAAACTTTTAAATCAAATACTCTTTAATATCCTCATCAGATCACTATTTAGAGCAAGGTTTTCTGATTCACTGTTGTAACCCCAATTTGAATTAGCCATGTGGTAAGAAATGTTTTCATATTCATGAACAGGAAGGCTTTTTATTATATATTTTGTTCAAAGGCTAAGCCTCTCTATAAGAATTTTTAAATTTCGTGTTGAGAGATTGGAATTTCTTTTTCTATTGTACTTTCTGAACGAGGTAGCTCTTAATTACTCCAAGAGTTTCCTATTTTCAAAGAAAGGCAGTAAATCTATGGTAGAATCTATAATTAAATATCCCGTTAAAACATGATTGCAGCAAGATGAGAAGAAAATGGCAAAAGCCTAAATAGCTTAGGCATTTCCGTTTTTAAGTGCCTGTGTTGTACAGAAAGACATGGCATAGGATATTTAAAGGGGAGTTAAAGCAAAAGGGGAAAGAGTAATTTGGAATTAAAATTACACTATGTATTAGATTGTTTATCTGAATGTCTAAATATGAGAAGCACCTAAACAATGGAACTTAAGATAATTTTTCAATGAGTAGCCATTTTTAATATAACATTATTTAACAGGCAACAATTTGCTGTTGTATGAGGCCTTCTGGAGATTGTGTGACATACGTGCTTCAAATACTTGCCAGTGATACCCCAGCAGCAGCAGACATAATCCTAATGATGATTTCAGTGATATTCTTGTGGTCTTGATGGTGACACTTGAATGATTCTTAGCCATTTATGCATTTGTTAGGTGACATCTCTGTAAAGCTCTGACTTGTAATTGTATAAATATTTATTATACACTGACACTTTCCTCAACATCTGGTGCAGGCCAGAGCCTAGATGTTAGAGGTCAGTGGCATGGAGGAAAGGGATTCTTTTTGATGTCCATCAAAACGTTCTTAAAGGGAATAAGGATGGGGCTTTTAAGTAATTGTTTTGAGGCCGGGCGCGGTGGCTCAAGCCTGTAATCCCAGCACTTTGGGAGGCCGAGATGGGCGGATCACGAGGTCAGGAGATCGAGACCATCCTGGCTAACACGGTGAAACCCCGTCTCTACTAAAAAAATACAAAAATCTAGCTGGGTGAGGTGGCGGGCGCCTGTAGTCCCAGCTACTCCAGAGGCTGAGGCAGGAGAGTGGCGTAAACCCGGGAGGTGGAGCTTGTAGTGAGCTGAGATCCTGCCACTGCACTCCAGCCTGGGCAACAGAGCGAGACTCCGTCTCAAAAAAAAAAAAAAAAAGTAATTGTTTTCAAAGTTTTTATCTGGTGACCTTTTAGAAATGTTGACGTGAAGGAAAAACCTCATTTTCTCTGGAGGAATAAATCTTAGAAATTTGGAGAAATTAGATAGATTCACATGGAAAACTTATTTTTGCCACCCATAATGAAGCTCAGAATGCTACCAAAAGCCTAACTTAGGTTTATAATAAAAGTCAGCAGCAGTAATGAATTATGTTACTGTGCTAGGTACTTTGTACACATTTTCTCATTTAATCTTCGTGATAAGGAAGGAGTAATGTGCTTTTTTTTTTTTTTTTAAAATCCAGGCAAGGAAACTGAGCCTTAGAAGCATTTAGTCAGTTTGCCTGCTCTAATGATCTGATGTGGGCCCAGAAGAGCACACTTTGCTCAGACAATATGAAGTATTAGTGAAGTACATTATTTACATACAACTTGAATTGCTCATAGTATAATATTTGGCATTAAATTTAAGAGTATTGTTTGTTCAAGTGGATATTACTAATTGAAATTTTCTTTTAATTTTGTCAAATGGAGACAAGTCATTGAATATAAAGATACCTAATTTTCGTGAGTTTATGTGGAAAAATTGTGAGAAGAAATCAGCATTTTAATAAAACAAAATTGTTGTCTAAACTTAGTACTTCCACAGTACCACACACACGGATTGAGAATAAACATTTTCACAGAATATGGGGGAAAAGAGGAAAATAATCCCCAGCCTTAGGAATTCAGTTTTTGTTGCATAGAACTCTGACCTGATTAAGGTCATTCGTTGTTTTTTTGGTTTTTTTTTTTTGTCGCCGGTATTGGTAGCTGATCCTGCTTCAAATGATCCATCTATTATTTCCCCTTTCCCCCTTTTCAAACCATCATCACTGACTTTTAGAAGCCAACATTTATATTGTTTGTGGTAAACTTCTTGGTGTTATCACAATAAATCATAAAGCTTTAGGGCTAAAAAGGAGCGTAGTGGTCTCATGGTCCAACCTCCTGACTTTTCAGATGAGAATATATCCCTGTTTATTTTTCTTTGGTTTAAGCATTTCCATCTACATATTATTTCTTTTATATGTTTGAAAGATTCTAGTCTGAAGTAGGTCAGGCAGGAGGAGAAAATAAAAGTGAGTCTTGTTTGGCAAAGACTTTCCTAGTGGTAGGCTTGGCAGAATTTCAGACTGCAGTGTTGATTCAAACACGTTAAGTCTATAGCATTCAACATTTGAAGTGCCATTATAGCATTGTTTTAATTAACTGCTTGCTTTTATAAGCTAATTATATGTAAATGCTGGTGTCTTCAATTTAAGTCCTCTGCAGCATGACAAATCAATGACAATCTTTAGTTCTTTTGTCAGGTCTTAAACTTACACTACCGTTTTCATAGTTGTAGAAGTGGATATACTCAGTTTGAAAATGACTGATTTTCTCCAGGTTATTTTAGTAAAGAATGTCTGACAAAAGTTTACTGAAGTGAGTGCTTTAGATGCTGACTTCAGGTCAGGGAGCTCTGCATTTGAACCCAAAGACCACATCTCTAGTATGTGGTTTTCTTACTATGTGTGGTTTTGTTTTGTTTTTGTGACAGAGTGTCTCTCTGTTGCCTAGGCTGGAGTGCAGTGGTACAGTCACAGCTCACTGCAGCCTTGACCTTCTGGGCTCAGGCGATCCTCTTACCTCAGCCTCCTGAGTAGCTAGTACTACAGTCACATACCACCACATTGGGCTAATTTATATTTATCTCTATCTATCTATCTATCTATCTATCTATCTATCTATCTATGAGACGGAGTTTCGCTTTTATTGCCCAGGCTGGAGTGCAGTGGTGCAATCTGGGCTCACCGCAACCTCTGCCTCCTGGGTTCAAGCGATTCTCTTGCCTCAGCCTCCTGAGTAGATGGGATTACAGGCATATGCCACCATGCCAGGCTAGTTTTTGTATTTTTAGTAGAGATGGGGTTTCATCATAGGGGTCGGGCTGGTCTCAAACTCCTGACCTCAGGTGATCCACCCACCTTGACCTCCCAAAGTGCTGGGATTGCAAGTGTGAGCCACCACACACATCGGGCTAATTTTTTTTTTGTAGAGACGGGGTTATGCCATGTTTTCCAGGCTGGTCTCGAACTCCTGGGCTCAAGCAATCCATCTGCCTTGGCCTCCCAAAGTGCTGGGATTATAGGTGTGAGTCACGGTACCTGTCCCTTAATGTGTTTTTAAGATACTTTGGGGTAACTTTTTTGTTACTGAGATTACAGAATCTAAGCAGTATTGTTCATAGAATTTTAATTCAGAATGTGTTTACTTTAAAAAAAAAAAACACTTCTGACTTTTTGAAGACAGTGATTATACATGTTTTACATTTATTTCTTTTATTCTTAAGTTAATCTTTTAAAGAAGCATCCAGCTTTACAATGTCATTAATCAGTACATATAGGTCGAGGGGTGTACATTTTATTCCCATAATATGTCGCTGTTGGTCAAGGAATTGTTTCTAGGTGACTTTCTAACTTTGTCTTGTCAACCAGTAATAATTATGTTCCGTAGGTCTTCATATTGGTAGTTGTATTCTTCAGTGTGTCTCTTTTTCGCGTTTTAATGAAGAAACTGGTTTAAGAGTTACTCTTGAGGTTCTCATTAATGTATTTCTTTTTCGTACATCTGCCCATTTCTTGCTGATAATCACAAGACACTTCTTCACTGACTTCATATCGAAATGTTTTCTATATGTGTTATGACTTAGAGAGAGGTTTGCTTAGATAATGCCTGTCTTCTGGGCAAATGGTATGATTAGTTTAGTAATTTAATCCATCTTGCTAATATGCATTTCTAGATTCCCAGGACAATATAATGTTCTTGTAAGAGTTCTGTATCTTGTTTACTAATGGATAGAGAGAATTTGGTGTATATTCTTGGGGCTTCAGAATGTCTAAAATAGAGGCAGCACCAGAAGGGGATCATGGTCCTCATATGAAGAATTTAAAAACTTTTGGACTTTTAAATATTAACACATTTGCTCTTCTTAGTAATATTTGAAATGATTGTAAGTTCATTGCTTAGCATTTGATATTAGCAGATGTTTTTGGGGGGGAGAAGCTTCTATCAAAATAATGTGTAAATTCTTTTGTATGTTGGCAGTTTGGACTTAACATTTTGTTGAAGGAGAAGAAAAATACCTGGTTTACATGTCAGCACTCGATTGCATTTTTTATTGATTTAGTAATGAAGTTCCTTCAGTTAATTGTAAATGAAAATTTAGTTACTGTTTACAAAGAAAAAATAGTATCCTAGTGTATTTCATGTATAATTTAGTGTACTTTCCTCAGATACATTTGAGTGTAGTAACATGGTTTCTTTATGTATTTCAGGATTATAGGCCCTATAGGTTTAGATTCTCATGAGCCTTTTGAGCGAATATGGCAGAAAGCTCGTCACTTTTCTCATGTCTTTGAATTAAGTGGATGGCTCTTCAAGTGTCTGTCTTACTCTTAGTCTGAACATATACACTCATTCTTATTGACTCAAGGAAGTGGTCTCTGAGTTGCTTTCTGTGACTCCTTGCCTCTCTTTAACTATTGTTAGTATTTACTTGGAGAGTTGAGTCTTGTTAGGTTAACTATCAGTTGTTCCCACCTGTATAACTTGTAAATCCATGCAGCCTTTGCTTTCTTTCTGGCTTGATTTAGGCCGAAATAGATGTAACATTTCTTAATTGATCATATAAGGGGTTTTTTTTCCCCCTTTTGAATGTAAACTAATGTAAGCTTTTTATGCTTTTCCAAAGGATTAGATTAAAAAAAAAAAAGAAAGGACATTTGAGTTTATATAACATTATATATTAAATACATGTCATTTATTATGTTTATATTTTAAATTTGATCATGTATCTTCAGTTTAAAAGGTGAATTTTAAAAAGTCAAATTTAGGCAACTAATAAAACTAGCAGAAGTTGCTTTCTTTTGTGGTTTTTCTCCTAGAATATTGTGTATATAGTTTGTGTTTTATAAATTATTGTTATAAATGTCATGTATCCCCAAATGCAAAACCGAGTTCTGACAACTGTTTAAAAATAAAACAACAAATCCAAACAAACAAAAATGCTTGCTTAATCTGGAAGGTTAGAAATTGTTTTATTCTCTGAAGAAACAAGAAAATTACATTAGATCTAGGACTTTTGTCATAATTTAGCTTTATAATAGGGATTGACTTAAATTTACTGCTTAGGATTCTGTCTTACCTTCTCTTAGCAGATTTTATAAAAGAATATCACTTAAGTAACATTTTGGGAAGGCTGGGCACATTTCACAAGCTACCTGACAAGGCAGTTTTATACTAGCTAATGTGACTACCTTTTGGGCTAATGAAACTAGTTTAAAAGTTTTATGTTTTTCTCTCCACTGAACAGATCATTGTAAAATGATTATTGTAAAAATTTAGATAACACAGAAATAGGTAAAACAGAAAGCAAAAGTCCCTGTAGTCCAGCTGCTCTGGCTTTTAGTCTTTCAGATATCATTTTCTGTATATACTACAAGGTTAATAATAATGTATTTTATTTTTAAAAATTATTGGCCAGATAATACATCCTTTCCATTTTGGGATATCACTTTACAACCTCTGTTCGAATTTTCATTCTTTTAAAAAATGTGTATGTTTGACATTATGGATATACCATAACTTATTGCCCCATTCTTGATGGATATTTAGATTTTTAGTTTTTACTTTTGCAATCATTGCTGTAGTGAACTTCATATACATCCTTGCATCTTTTGAGTAATTCTGTAGAAGTTCCTAGAAATATAATTATTAGATCAAAATGATATGCATATTTAAAAATTTAGCAGATATTACCAAATGCACCCTCAAAAGTTTTATATTACACCCCTACCAGCTGTTTATGGAATGTCTGTTTACCTGTATTCTCAACACAATATTTTCAATCTTAATCTTCAGTCCAATAGGTAAAACGTTGTTAGAATTTGTTATACCGTGTCTTAATTATTAGTGAAGTTAAGTGTCAATTACTGTTTGTTTATATTTCTTTTGTGAATTGGCTGTTAGGCTTTTTCTTACAATTTATAAGGACTTTTTGTATATTACAAATACTAGTTTTTGACTGGGTGCAGTGGCTCACGCCTGTAATCCCAGCACTTTGGAAGGCCAAGGTGGACAGACCATTTGAGATGAGGAATTCTAGACCAGCCTGACCAACATGGTGAAAGCCCATCTTTACTAAAAATACAAAAAAATTAGCTAGGTGTGGTGGCAGGCACCTGTAGTCCCAGCTACTTGTGAGGCTGAGGCAGGAGAATGCCTTGAACCCAGGAGGTGGAGTTTTGAGATTGAGTCACAAGACTCAATCTCAAAAAGCGAAAAACAAAAAATAGTTTTTTTGTTGTATGTTTTGCAGATTTTTACCCCCATTTTGATACTGTTTCTGGTATATCTTTGTTATACACTTCTTTTTAAGTTTTGTGTTTCTTAAAGGTTCCAAAAGTCTTTCTTCACTTCAAGATTATAAATTATCTACCTATCTTTCCTTTAGTTCTCTGTTTTCATTTTTATATTCTAATATCATTTAACCCATCAGGAATTTCCTTTGGTGTAAAGAATGAGTAGGGGATTTGGTTTTTAATTTTGTTCTTTTTAGTTTCCTGGTTGTTTCAACACTATTTACTGAGAAATTAATGAATAGTGAGGGGCAGTTGTAAATTAGTTTTCGAAGATGAGCAGAATCAGCCTTCTTGGTTGGTGGTTCCCTCGGCAGTTTTACCACTCGAGCAAGACCTGAAGTGTTTCCCTTCAGAAACCACAGCCTGTGCCATCTTGCCCACTCACTTTCCTTCCTTCCTTCCTTCCTTCCTTCCTTCCTTCCTTCCTTCCTTCCTTCCTTTCCTTCCTTCCTTCCTTCCTTCCTTCCTTCCCTTCCTTCCTTCCTTCCTTCCTCCCTCCCTCCCTCCCTCCCTCCCTCCCTCCCTCCCTCCTCCCTCCTCCCTCCTCCCCTCTCCTCTCTCTCTCCCTTCCTTCCTTCCTTCCCTTCCCTTCCCTTTCCTTCCCTTCCTTCCTTCCTTTTCTTCTTGCCTGCCTGCCTGCTGCCTGCCTGCCTTCCTTCCTTCCTTCCTTCCTTCCTTCCTTCCTTCCTTCCTTCCTTCCTTCCTTCCTTCCTTCCCTTTCTTTCTTTCTTTCTTTCTTTCTTTCTTTTCTGTCTCTCTCTGTCTGTCTCTTTCTTCTTTCTGTCTTGTCTTTCTGTCTTTCTTGTCTTTCTGTCTTTCTTTTGTTTTTTTTTTTAAATTTGACAGAGTTTCGCTCTGTTGCCCATGCTGGAGTGCAGTGGTGTCATGTTGGCTCATCTCAACCTCTGCCTCCTGGGTTCAAACTATTCTTGCGCCTCAGCCTCCGGAGCAGCTGGGACTACAGGCGTGCACCACCACACCTGGCTAAGTTTTGTATTTTTAGTAGAGACAGGGTTTCACCATGTTGGCCAGGCTGGTCTTGAACTCCTGACCTTCAGCCTCCCAGAGTGCTGGGATTACAGGCCTGAGCCACTGCGCCTGGCCTTGCCCACTCACTTGAACTCGAACTTCTACTACTTTATAGTATTAAGCCCAGATCCACTGATTTTAGCAAGGCTTCAAAACCATTTTACTGCCACAGCCTATATAAACTATAGATTTATATAATACTCTCTGTTACATTTCAGTTATTTTTCCCCCAGTGACAGAAATTGTTCTGTTTCTACTCACAGGAGTGTTATTGAATTAGAAATTTGAGTTTACATGTGATGGATGAACATCGCTCTTGTTACCTGCTTCATGTACTTTTTTGAGTGCTTTTGTCCTGTGATGATTATTCTGTTTCTGATCTCCAGTACTTAGCAAAAATTGGAGTTTTTCCGCAAAGCTGCAGATGAGGGAATGATTTACCTTAACAGCCTTTCAGGGTTTTAACCTAGGATTAACTAGGTTTGCATGTTTGTTATTCCTTTCATTCAGGGCCCAGCTTCTGAAGGTAGGATGCAAGGAAGAGCTTTAAGGATCTAAATTTCCTCTGAGCCTGGGCAACATAGTGAGATACTATCTCAATAAAAAAATAAAAAAATTAGCCAGATGTGGTGACACGTACCTGTAGTCCCAGCTACTTGGGAGGCTGAGGTGAGATAATCACTTGAGCCCAGGAGTTTGAGGCTGCAGTGAGCCATGATTGCACTACTGCACTCTAACCTTGGCAACAGAGCTAGACCCTGTCTCAAAAATAAAAGGGGTCTAAACTTTCTGATATTGTATTCTAAATGTCCTATGTTAAATGCTGCATTATCATCCCCTGCCCCTTGGAATGTAGAAACCGTCACTTACAGGATAAAAGTGAACTGAGAAGCAAATACCCTTGTGTTGTAGGGTAGAGGTTCTTCACCCAATCTGGAATCAGTCTGTAACAAATACTTAACAACACAAACTGAAATAATTTACAATCTGATATGAATTACTCTTTTTCATTCCTTAACTCCAACACTTGATTAGTTGCTTTCATTAAATACATCTGTGTTGATACCTTTACAGGGTTTTTTCTTCCATTTTTATTTCTGCCCCTCTCCTGTAGGAGCCACTCATTTCTTTTCAAGTGTCTTCTTCAGTCACCCTTCCCCTATTTTGCCTTCTCAACCTGATTATGAATTCACTTCCATTATTGAGCTTCTGTTTATCCAAATTTGCTATTTATCTCATTGCAGTTTTTCTTCAGTGCTTCCTTTGCGTAAAAGTAGCCTGAACTTAAATTATATACATGGTCATTTTCACCAGAAGGGCTAGCTAATTTAAAACTTGGGTGTATTATCTTTTCTTTCCTCAAATCCTGCAGAATATAGGGTAGTTTCAGAAATCACCCCCAGCTTTTCTCTAGACTTGGTGACAGCTGATGCTTTCTTCTGACTCTTCCTCTCCTGGAGTGCCGACCTTCCTGCACCTTCCTCGCTGTTGTCACATGGAAAGGCTACAGGATGTTAGACAATGTCAACAGTTCACTGTGTCTCTGGCATGAAATAAATGGACCAACCAGTATCCGAGAATATTTTTTACTTGGCTAACTGATTGTATATTTTCCCCTATATGAAAGTTGGACTTAGCCCTTATCATGTTAAAGGTTATTCAGAGGCAGGATGGCCATGACTGTTATCTTTGGGATGTCCTGCTGTAAAATGGGGAGTCATACCTACCTCACAGGGTAGTTGTGAAATTTAAAGAAGCTAACTTTGGTAAAGTCTCTAGCACAGTGCTTGGCACATAGTAGGGTGTGTTAATTTCTTTCCCTTCCCTGCAGGCCATTCACCTGCTCTTCCCTCTACGATTTTCCATAACACAGTTTTTACTTGGAACCAGCCTTCTGCCAAGAGTCTCAGTTTGGTTGTGTACTCCTACAACTACTATTTTTGGCTTGACTTCCCTCTCCAGCTCCCAGTGGTCCAGCCACACAGTCGCCTATTGTACCAGCTGGTTGATGTAAGTCTATCCATCCTCAGAGGAACCTGGTTACTTACCAGTAAACTGTGTTTCTCTGAAAATGTAGCATCCTTGGTAATGAATCTAGCCCCCGCCCCCTTTTTTTAAACCATTGATGAAGAATCATCTCTAACTTCCTTGTGTGATCCTCAAGTTGGAACTGGAATTAGAGAATCTAATTTGTTGATAAAGGTCTCCTAGTAAGTTCCTGAGTCCAGGACACATGGCTCTGACCAGGTGAAATGTGGAGACCCATGAGGTAAAAATTCTTTTCACTACTCTGAGTGACATGAGACTTAATTATGTAAACTGTCAAGGATGATACATTTTCAAAGAAAAATAAGTTGCTGGTAAGTAACTGGGATTTTTGAGTAATTTTTCTGTAAGTCAATAAATAAGAATCCCACATTTGTTTTTACCAACAAATGCTTTTGCATTTGAATATTTCATAAATGAAAGGAATATGGTTAATAGTCATGGTTAATAGTTAAAGAATGGGATAGGTTTCTAGAGATACTAGAAATATAATGAGGTGAGGGTAGACCGTCAGTTTTCTAAATAGGTGCTCTCTTAGCTTTAAACAGAAATTGAAGTCTCCATTAGAGAAAGTCATCAAATGTAGTCTGTTCATTCCAGAAACATTTTTTGAGTGCCTACTGTTTTTTTGAGACACTGTGCTGAGTATCGTTTCAAGATAGAGGTGAAGCCACACTTGGCTCAGCTGCTTTTGCCCTCAGAGAGCTTATTTCTTGTTTTTTAGTGACTCTCGCATGACTCAGAACTGAGGCGATGGGATACTGGGGTATGACAGAGGTATGGGATTGGAAGTAGTATGTAGTGCTGCAGCCTGTGCCTTAATATTTTCTGTGCTTCCATAAGTTCTTTCTGTTAATGGGAAAAATCAGCTGACTTCATTCAGGATTTGCAGAGTATTTGCTATATCACTAGAGCAACCATAGATGAAGGAAAGCCAATGCTCCTTCTTTCTCGTAGTTGAAAAACAATATTCATTCTCTAACCCTTATGTGCAACTTTGGAATTAGGTGTTAAAGCAGGTGAATAAGTCAGAGTTGGAGAGGCAGCCCACTCCCCCTTAAGCTTTAAAAGCACTTCTTCCTTCAGAAGCCACAGAATTAATTTATTCCTGCCAAATGTAAAAAAAATCAGATTTTTCCTTTTAAGAAATGAAAATTGTTTTGTATTTAAGTCACTGGATAGTATTTGATACTATCAGTATCACTAATTATATTCATTATATTCAGTAATTATAAGCACCTCCACCCCCAAATTTTCCCAGTTAAGTAGAAAGAAGGAAAGAAGACTTGGTAGTACTAATAAGTTGTTGTTGGAGGAAATGCTCCTATTACATTGTCATATGTCTCTATTTTATTTTATTTTTTGAGGCAGGGTCTCACTCTTGTCACCTAGGCTTAGAGTGCAGTGGTGCTGATCACGGCTCACTGCAGCCTTTGCCTCCCAGGCTCAAGTGATCCTCCTACCTCAGACCCTCAAGTAGCTGGGACCACAGGCACGTGCCACCTTGCTGGGCTAATTTTTTTGTGTTTTTAGTAGAGACAGGGTTTCCCCATGTTGCCCAGGCAGGTCTTGAACTTCTAGGCTCAAGCGATCTGCCCATCTTGGCCTGCCAAAGTGCTGAGATTATACACTTGAGCCACTGTGCCCAGCCATGTCTCTGTTTTATATAGTAAATACTGCATGGCTGTAATTGTTATTTTACCCCATGAGCATTGCAAGGGCAAGAACTACAGTGCAGTAATTAATTAAGCTCACGGGTGTTGCAGTCAGACTTTAAATCCAGGTTTTAATCCTGGTTTTGTAATTTGCTACCTTTCTGACTAGACAAATTATATAACTTCTCTGAACCTCAGTGTCCTCATTTGTGAAGTTTTGATGCTAAAAGTATATCATAAGGTTGTAATGAGGAATAATTAAGATAATGTATATAAGCACTTAGCACAGTGCCTGCAACATAGTACGTGCTCAATAAATGTTAACTGCTGTTTTTATTGGAATATTGGATGGATGGATGGATGAAGGATTTTATCAGAGGCCAAATAGCAGGAAGGGGAAAGATTATGGGCTCTGGAGTGTTAGTAAACTGTTCACACTGTCTTGTTTACTTGGGTTATGAGCCTTATTAGTATTATGATCTTTATCTTTGCCTTTTTGGAAAGCAGATTAATGGATGAATCACTGTCACAGTTCTTTCTAACTACTCCATCCTTAAACCTTTACTTTCACTAAGGAAGGAATTATTTTTGTGCTGCAGTGACTGTGATGATTGAGAGATTATCCCACTGGCCTGATGCAACCCAATGCTGAGGGTCAGGTGTGGCGCATATGCCAGATTTCTACTCTGAATTTCACCACACCTCGTTCTGCTATTCTTAAGACATTTTAAATAAAAAATTTAAACATTTAATATGTATGCGTGTATATATATATGATTTTTCAGTTTCATTTTACTACACTTCTTTTTTGCTCTGTTTTCATTGATTGTGGATTATGAATATATGTCTAGGATATTTTTGAGAAGGCTCTGGAGGACTTACACTTGGGCAGTAGTACTCTTTAAGGAATCTCGGATTTGTAGACAGGGTGAAAAGTGCTGTGGTTATTTGGGCACAGAGTTTTGCCACATTTCAGAGAATCAAAGATGCAAAATTTTTCACATTTAACATTCAAAACCAACATGCATCTTAGAGTCACTGTGATAAGAACGGATTCTATCTTTGTTTAGTTGGCAGCACTTTTTTCTTAGTGATACAGAAGACAATGGTATACCTTGAAATCGCTGTCATCATAGATTGTATGAAATATGGTGTTTCAAGGGACTATGTGCACTGACACATTATAGCAATATGGCATCATGGCAATGTGAGGAGCGGGAAGAGCAGGGGCTCCAGAGTCAGACTTTTGGAGTTTACATTCTAGCCCGAGAACCATGCGCAATCTTGGGCAAGCTACTTATCCTTTCTTTTCTAGAGTTTTCTCACCTGTAAAATGGGGGCTAAGAATAGTATCCATCTTACAGTGTTATAATGAGGATTAAATAGAAGACATGTAATGTGTTTAAAATAGCCTAGCACATAAAAAGTACTTAGTAATTAGCTAATATTATAATTCAGAGATTAGTTTTGCAGAATAGATTTGAATTTACTTTGTTGTGATTGAAACACAAACTCATTACCCTTAATATTTATGTATCATCTGATAATATCAGCAGTTGACACTTAGATTTTAAAAAAGGAAGATAAAGATAAGGAAGATTAACCTAACAGGTTTTCTTATTCTTGTTAAGTAAGATTTAAGTGGCTTATTTGGTATATATATTATTATTCTGTGTGGTTGGAATGTAAGAGAAATGAAGGATGAGCTAGGAAATAAATGTCTAGCAAAAGCATGGAGCAGTTAATCAGATTGCTGAATCTCACATAAGTACAATTTTTGATTCTTACTGATATTGGTAAGTATGGGAAGGGTTGGGAGTTTTGAACATTTGGAAAATTTGAAGCATTTTTTCACCCTAAGTAAAAGAGAGAAAAGAGAGAATCCTATTTGGTTTATATGACCACTTTACTGTCCTAGGTAGGGACTTTTTTTTTCAAAATTAAATATTTAGGTAGGCAGCATCTCTTTACAATATGATGGCTACAGCTTAAGGTTGTCCTTTTAAGAGTCAATTTTATTTTTTCTGTTTTAGTGTTCGGTGACCAGTGACTTGGATTTTCCAACACAAGTCATCCCATTAAAGACTCTGAATGCAGTTGCTTCAGTACCCATAATGTATTCTTGGTCTCCCCTACAGCAGAATTTTATGGTATGTAAATAAGATATCTTCTGCTTATTTGATAACTTATTTGAAATAAAAAAGCATAGATAATTTTATTGTCAAGGTGAATCAAGACAGTATAAATTCTGAAAAGCTATCAAAATAACACTTGAAGTAATTTTAAAAAATTGATTAATATAGTTTCTTTAAGGCCTGTGCAGTATTACTCTTTTCCTGTATTCTCCAAAGGAAAAGTGTTAAGCAGTAACCATACCTAGGATTAAAAAGATTTAAAAGATGGACTGGGCATTGTGGCTCATGTCTGTAATCCCAGCACTTTGGGAGGCTGAGGCAGACTGATCATTTGAGTCCGGGAATTGAAGATCCACCTGGGCAATATGGCGAAACGCTGTCTCCTCAAAAAAAAACACCAAAAATTAGCTGGGTGTGGTGCGTGTCAGTAGTCACAAGCTACTCAGGAGGCTGAGGTGGAAGGATGGCTTGAGGGAGGCGGAGGTTGTAGTGAGCTGAGATTGTGCCGTTGCACTCCAGCCTGGGTGACAGCCAGACCCTGTCTCAAAAACAAACAAACAAACAAAAAAAGGAATGAAGCTTATAGTTCTTATCCTTAAAAAAGTCAGTGTCCTATAGTCTAAATCTGACTTTGGGTTTTTGTTAATTGAGAACTTACTGTTTAAAACAATTTAGGTGGCATTTTATTGTGATAATGTACATTATATAATTTCATAGGGCTTATAAAACATGAGCTGAAATATATTTCCATTGCTAACTCTGACCCAGCAGCTTTTGTAATAAAATGCTAAAGAGAAACTGAAGCATGTGTTCTTGACTTGCATTGCTAAATAAAAAAGATATAGTTGTATTACTTAATTGATATATAAAGTGGAAAGGCTAATAAAATGTTGATGGAAGTCCTTGGTGAACCTGCTTTAGGGAATTTTTTAGTAACTTTGTACAGAAGAGTGTCAACTTCAGTTACTCTTCTGTAGTTGTATAAATTTGAGAATTACATTACATGACCTTGTATAAGTTTGAGAATTACATTACATGACCTTGAGGGAAGTTTCATGTTTTCACAGACTGAAATTCTGGAAGAATATGGTATTTAAATTTTTCATTAAATATAATTTATGAATCATCCATGGATTTTGCTGGTCCAGCCTGGGTGACAGAGCCAGACCCTGTCTGATTTTGCTGACCAAAGCAGATTAGGCACACAATCTTTATTATAACTAGGATATGTTTTGGTGAGCAGGATGATGTGGATATGATTGAAAAGACAAAATATGTAAGTGTTACTTAATTTTGGCTTAGATATAAAGAAATCAACCCCTAGTTTAAATGAGATTAGTGCAAGTGAAATGAGATGAAAACAGGCCTCTAGTGTGTACATAATCTTGAATTTGAATATATGGGTACATTAAAATCTGCATTTTAATTATCCTTTTATCCCACTTTTCCTTGTCTGTCTATGGTACTGTTATCTTTATGAACCCTCCAGTTGTCCTAAATTTGTTACCTAGGGATTATTTGAGATTTTTTCCCACATTTCCTGCCTGCTAGTAGTCCCATGTATGGCCTTTTCCAGCGTGTTCTTCCCTGTGGGCCATGATCACAGTGCTGGGCCCAGCCTGCGCCATCTCACCCTTTAAAGAGCTGCTGTGTCCTCCCAGTCAGGCATAGCCAGTCCAATTCTGCTTGTCAGAATTATCTTTCTAAAATTCTGTTTTTAACCAATATCCTTTTCAAAGGCCTCTTAAGATTTAGACTTGTCTTCACTTGGAATTAGTCTTTTTAAACGTGTGCTTCAGAACTGTCCAGTCTTTATCTATGATTACTGTCATTTTTATTCTTCATTGGAAATGCTCTTCCTCCCATGAATGTCAGCTTTCTTTCCCTTGTATTCTTAAGTATTCTGTTCTCTCTTAACTTTTCTTTGATTGGCTCTTCTTCTCTGTTGTCTTCCAAAGCTTGATAAAAACTCACCTGTCATCTTTACTAGCACTGTCAACTTTGATATTCATCTCATTCATCTAAATATTGAAATATTTTATGTTTTTGTAGAATGTTCTTATTTTACATATAAGTACATATCCTTTTGGCATAAACTTTAATGGACTATCAATACTCTACATCCCTAGAATTTTATTATCCCTAGAATTTATTGGATGTCTTAATTTTTTTTTTTCATTTTACCTTAAACTATTACAAGTTAATGGCTGTTTTAATAACTGGATCATCAAGTGGAATTTGGGAGTCTTATGGTCGTTTTTTGGGATGGGTCTGTATGGATCTTAATATACCATATTTCATCATCCTGTATTAACGTCTAAAGTGTGCCTTAAAACCGATGATGGCTGGGCATGGTGGCTCATGGTGCCAGACACCTGTCATCCCAGCACTTTGGGAGCCAAGGCGGGCGGATCACTTGAGCTCAGGAGTTCGAGACCAGCCTGGGCAGCATAGTAAGACACTTGTCTCAAATTAAAAACAAAAAACAGAAAAACAAACGGATGATGTCTTCTCATAATCTAGAGCATCTTTTTCTTTCTTAGAGGTATGTAAAATAATGGTAAGTTTTAATGATTGATGACAGACTAAGTGCAGTATTTTTTCTTGAATCAAATTTTTTTCCTGTCAGCAGTTTTCTCAGATATGCTTATTGGCGAGAGGAGTCTTTTTATTCTTTGATACATTTTAGAGTTTGCTCTCTGACTAGTATTTTAAATCTGGAGAACTGGGTAAAGACATCTACATATGAAAAAAAGGTTGTATTTTAGTTATTTCACATTTGATACTTAGAATAAACCTGCTTTTTAAATTTGTTTTTCCTTATTTTTAGGTGGAAGATGAAACTGTTTTACATAACATTCCGTATATGGGAGATGAAGTTTTAGACCAGGATGGTACTTTCATTGAAGAACTAATAAAAAATTATGATGGAAAAGTACACGGGGATAGAGGTGAGCCATATGCTGCTTCTCTTGGAAAAAGGGGCTAAAGAATTAAGAGATAATTTTGTTTATAAGGCATAGGGCATGAGAAAAATTTTAATATTAAAATTAAGTTTTGCACTGAACTATAAGGGACTGAACCTGGGCCCAGGCCTAAGATTTTTAGTATTTTCCCTAACTATTTTTGGGAAAATTAGGAGGATCATGTTTGCCACCTGATAATTACGCATAGTTGGTTATAACATAAATTATAATGGCAGTAACATGTAAATTAAATAGAAATTGAGTGTATGTAGATTTTAAGATTCTTTAGTAATAAAATTAATTAGGATTGGGGCTCTGCTGTGGCATGTGGGGGCTCCAGCAGCCCCTACTGTTCAAAAATACTGTTCCTCTAGGGACTACAGTACCTGAAATTCAATCATTAGTGTCATGGTTTCAGTTTTTTTTGTCCAGGAGGCCCTGTTAAAGTGTCTGAAAGGGTAATATTTGTAATATCATCATCCATTGTCATTATCAGCAGAAAGCAGGATCTGAAGTCATCAGTTAAAGGACAGATCCATTGTTTGGGAGGAGGCTAAAGCCACAGTCAGTTCCTAGAGAATTCAGTTTTCTACTAGAAACTTTTGGGGAGGGGCTATTCAACAGAAAGTAGCAGGTATTAAAGATAATTTTCCTTCCTAACTTTGCCTAATGCCGGTCTTGAAAATGATCTTATCTTTTCCTCCCCTCATTTCAATAATAATGTTTTAGTGCTAGTTACTAGGCTATCTATGCCTGTTTTGTCAAAGTAGAAAAAGGATACATAAACTTTTGACATTACTACTTCCCCTGTGTGTTTCTGACATTTGATGCATTTCAGAATGTGGGTTTATAAATGATGAAATTTTTGTGGAGTTGGTGAATGCCCTTGGTCAATATAATGATGATGACGATGATGATGATGGAGACGATCCTGAAGAAAGAGAAGAAAAACAGAAAGATCTGGAGGATCACCGAGATGGTATGCCTGGTTATTAGGATTCTGTGTAGCCATTACAGCTTTCTTTCAAAAACAGTAGAAAGAGTAGAAGTAGAGCTTAGTTTCTTCTTTCTCTTTTTCTTTCTTTGCTGAATGTCACACTGATAGCAGTATAATCAAAATTAGCATATTATGGCCAGCCAAGGTGGCTAACCCTGTAATCCTAGCATTTTGGGAGGCTAAGGTGGGCAGATTGCTTGAGCCCAGGAGTTCAAGACCAGCCTGGGCAACATAGTGAGACCCCATCTCTACTAAAAAGTAGAAACATGAGGCAGGGTGATTGCTTGAGCCCAGGAGGTGTGTAGGTTGCATTGAGCTGTGATTGTGCCACTTCACAATCTGGCTGGATGACAGAGTGAGACCCTGCCTTAAAAAAGATAGAAGAAAAAAAGAAAAAAGCATATTACTTGCAACATTATCTTCACTTGAGTGTCTCTGTTTCCTTTGGCTAGCAAAGAATATAATTTTTTGTGTGCTTCTCTGGGCATCATTATAATATATAACATACTGATATTCACTGTGTACAAGTTGTGTACTAATCACTTCATGTGCACCAGCTCACTTAATCCTCGTAATGGCTTCATGAGATGGATGTTATTATCAGATCCATTTTCTATTTGAGGGGATAGATTTTAGAGAGGTTAAGTAACTTATAAGATTACAGTATTGGGAAGAAACAGAGACAGTAGTTGGTGTTCTCTACTTGGCAAAGCTCATGTTAAAGCAGCATAGAATAATTTGGCGGGTGAAATAGCAATTTCTAAGAAGCATATTTGAAAAAGAGAAAATAACAAAAAGGTACCTTATTGATCATCTAGTTCTGCTCCTTCATTTTACAGATGAGTAAACAGATCCAAGAGGTAAAGTGATCACTCTTTGTCACAAAAATCAGTTAGTAGCAGAGCTGGGAGTGGAACCTAGGTTTTCTGCTTCCCAGTGTTCTTAAAGCTTTTCATATTTGAATTTTGTTTTTGACCGACTGGTATTCCACAGACACATGTAAAGTATGTGAGAAGTAAGTGAAACACAAAATTGAGATGATTTCTTAGAAAATCAACTTTATTACAGAGATGTAGTTGGGTGGAGAAAATTAAAGATCGAAAACTTGTTTACTTCCATTCTTTTTTTCCTTTCATATTCTCCTGTTTAGATAAAGAAAGCCGCCCACCTCGGAAATTTCCTTCTGATAAAATTTTTGAAGCCATTTCCTCAATGTTTCCAGATAAGGGTACAGCAGAAGAACTAAAGGAAAAGTAAGATATGTTCCTTTGAGGCAATCTTGCCCTGTGTGGTACGTAACTCACCATTTTGGTTTATTACAAATGGAATCAATGTAGTGGATGAGCCACTACACTTTATTTACAATGTTTGCAAGATACTTGAAGCAACATATGTACCTGTGGTACTCTGCATTACAAAATATTTCCTGTAGATAGAATAAATAATTTATATCTACACATAAACACACATATGCACATAAAATTTACAGTGGTAGATTTACAGGAAAATTATCTGGATACTGATAGCAAAATTTGGTGTTTAGTTAAAACTGATATATCCTTTTCCATGATACATTTGAATCATATCAATGAATTTGATTCTTCGTAACACCATGCACAATATTTAGTTGGCTCTTTATCTAAATAAAGATTGTTGTAGGTTAGAGCCATTCCTATATGTTTTAGGCAAGATGAACATCAGAGGTAACACATGGAAACCTTTTAGAAACTGTTTTCAAAAAAGTGATTTTTGTTTCATGTTTACTTAAATTTTTCTTGGTTAATGTCAGATATAAAGAACTCACCGAACAGCAGCTCCCAGGCGCACTTCCTCCTGAATGTACCCCCAACATAGATGGACCAAACGCTAAATCTGTTCAGAGAGAGCAAAGCTTACACTCCTTTCATACGCTTTTCTGTAGGCGATGTTTTAAATATGACTGCTTCCTACATCGTAAGTGCAATTATTGTACGTTTTCATTTTCTATCTTTGTTGTGGAATTATGTTTTAAAACCAGCTTGGAGAGTGCTATCATTTATTACAACTAGAATTTATCAGTTAATCCTGTAGTTACTTTCAAAAGTCTTTAGATCTCAGTATTATTATTTTTACTTTGTTGCTTGAGGATTGCTCTGAAATCTTTTGTATGTATTTCATTTGGACTACTATTTTCCAGTAATACAGAATTCAGGTCAGTGATTTTTTTTTTTTTCCCGTAAGTGCTAACTAAGCAGCTGTTTTACAATAAAACTATTATTATGAACTAACCGATAGTCCAGAGCAACATTGCTGATATTGATGAACAAATTGTGTTAAATAAGAAATTGGCCAAAAAAATGTTCAGGTAAGTGCTTGTCGATTTAGTGTAAATTTTTTTTGCCCTCTGGGTAAGTTGTTTTTTTAAAAAATACCTGCATTTGAATACAAGTAAAACATAAAATGTTCTTAGTGAAAATTTAAGTATGGTATATACAAAAATACTTTTTTCCCTTGGCATTTCTAGGGAATGTGGTTTCTTAGTAAATTTTCCTGGTAATTGAAACTTTTAAGCGCAGTTTAAAAGCATCAACTACTTTTGAGGCACATATTTTGAAAATGTATTTAATAGTTCCTAATTTTCCTAGAGTAGTTTGCTTATTATAGTTCGGTTTTTCCCATATTGTATTTTAGTATGTCTGTCTATGGCATGGTAACTTCTTTAGGGGCTTTGACCCATTGTAAAATCATTTTCTCCTGTACTAAATGGCTCCACATTGCTTTGTTTTGAGTTCCTATGCCTACCATTGACAGATTTATTCCTCCTCATTCACCAATGATACGTCTTTTTAAGCTTGCCCAAGCTACTGTACCTCACCTCCTCCTAAGTTTTTGCTGTGCTTATTTTTCCTGCAGCTGATAATGTGTTGAGTGATGTATACATTGGTGTGGAAATGTTAAGTTTTGTTTTTGTGTGTGACATACTAGTGGTTTAGTTATCTTAAAATAGAAAAACTTGAAGTAGATTTTAAAAATTATCATTATATCGTAACCTCCTTGCTCTTGTTCTCAACTTCTATTCTGGTTTAAATTGATTTGGTAGTTTCAAAAATTTGTAGTAAGTCATCCATTTGTTGCTTCAGCCATTGGACAGTTAAGCCCTTGAAATAGTTGTCTTGAATTTCATTTTAATTCCCCTTTACACACCATCAATTTATGAATTACATCCAGTTTTTATTAAGAATATTGTAAATTGCATGCAGATATCACTATGCCTAAAGAATTGAGTAGAAGCACTATTTTGGAGTCGCTGAAAGGTCCTTCCAATTTGTTGTTTATAGATGTACCATTTAGTAAAGTTTTTTGCTGTAAAAATGCACCATAGAAGTAGGACACTACTTTTAAACAGTACAAGAGTTTTTTTATTGTGCTATTCAGAGATGAGTAATTTTTTTTTTTTTAACTTGAACCTTGAACCTATTACGTATCTCATTATTCTAGCTAGGGAGAAGAAAGGAATATTTTACTTTATTAATAAAGTTGACTTTCATGGGACTAACTGGCTGCCTCCTTGTAGCATTTGGTAGCCATGGGTCCAACTTTGCTAGGCCCACTTTTACTTCTTTTTACGGAAGAGCCAATGTCTTCATCATTCAATCCTAATGAGTTCTATAGGAACTTCATTGCTTTACATTAACTTTGACAAAATACCACACATGGTATATTTTTCTTAGGTAAAATAAGTTACTAAATCATTAAATACATACAATCATGCATTATGGACGGAGATGCATTCTGAGAAATGTGTTGTTAGGTGATTTTGGCATTGTGTAAACAGAGTGTACTTACACAAACCTAGATGGTACAGCCCATGACATACTTAGGCCACACACCCTGCAGCATGTCACTCATTGTACTGGATGCTGGAGGCAGTTGTGACACAATGGCAAGTATTTGTATATTTAAATCATTAATAAACATAGAAAAGGTACAGTAAAAATACAATATTATGATCTCATGGTACCACTATTGTATATATGGTCCATCATTGACTCAGATGTTATGCAGTACATAACTGTATTTTTTTTTTTTTTTTTGAGATGAAGTCTCATTCTGTTGCTCAGGCTGGAGTGCAGTGGTGCGATTTCAGCTCACTGCAGCCTCCGCCTGCTGGATTCGAAGGATTCTCCTGTCTCAGCCTCCTGAGTAGCTGGGATTACAGGCACCTGCCACCACGTCCAGCTAATTTTTGTATTTTTAGTAGAGATGGGGTTTCACCATGTTGGCCAGGCTGGTCTTGAACTCCTGACCTCAAGTGATCCACCTGCCCCGGCCTCCCAGAGCGTTGGGATTACAGGCGTGAGCTACTGCGCCTGGTCGATTGTATGTTAAATGTAGCGTTTTGTGCTTTAGTTTTCTGGTCTCTATCTTGAGGATATGGTACTACTTCCTTTATAGAGCTGTTGTGAGGATTTCATGAATTAATGTGTGGAAAATAGTTAAAATGGTACCTGACTCTTGTTACCTGTTGTGAGTTTTAAAATAGGTCATCATTCACATGGTTTACATTTCTAAAAAGTATTAATATGAAGATGTGCTGGGCGCAGTGGCTCATCCTTTTAATCCCAGTGCTTTGGGAGGCAGAGGTGAAAGGATTGCTTGAGCCCAAAAGTTTGAGGCTACAGTGACCTATGATCATGCCACTGTACTCCAGCTGGGTGACAGAGTGAGACCCCATCTCTTTAAAAAAAAAAAAAAAAAGTATGAAAATGTGTACAATGAAGTCTCCCAATGATTTTCTGTTCCCCATCCATCGAATTTTTACCTCACTCCTTCCACTTTTATTAGTAGTTAACCACTTTTACTAGTTCTCTTGTATTTTTTTTTACAGTTTCTTTGACAAGTATAAAGATATTCTTTTTTTCCTGACCATCTTATTTAAGTGGTGCCATAGCATTCAGGCTTTTCCCTTTTTTGGGGATAAGGATAGGATTTAATATTGTAGCTATTAGCTTTATCTGTATAGCTGCATAGCCTGTGCTGTAGGAGGTTCCAGAACTTACTGGACTGGTCTCTAATGGTGACCATTTGGATTATTTTGAGCCTTATGCTGTAACAGTGCTACAGTGAATTACCTTGCAGATATCTGTACCCATTTCACACAAGTTTAAGTTTACCTGATAAACTCTATTTAGGTATTGCCAAATGACCTGCCGTACGGGGACACAGCACCTTAAAACCCTACCAGCAAAGTCAGAGAGCCCTGCCCATAGAAAGTGTTACCAAACTAATTTTTAAAGTTGATTTTATAAGTGAAAAATGGCTTTTAGTATTATTTTTAAGTTCTTGTTTTTCTTTATTTTTTAATCTCTGCTTCCCCCAGGTGATAAGCATTGTTTTAATATCTGGGTTTTATTCCTTTGAATGAGGGTAGGATCTTCCTATATGTTGAAGAGTGAACTATTTTTATTCTTTGTTTTTTTTGTTTTTGTGAGACAGGGGTCTTGCTCTGTCGCCTAGGCTGGAGTGCAATCTTGGCTCACTGCAGCCTCTGCCTCCTGGGTTCAAGTGATTCTCCTGCGTCAGCCTTCTGAGTAGCTGAGATTACAGGCATGCACCACCTCGCCTGGCTCATATTTGTATTTTTAGTAGAGACAGGGTTTCACCATGTTGGCCAGGCTGGTCTCAAACTCCTGACCTCAGGTAATAACCCACCTCAGCTGTGTGCTAGGATTACAGGTGTGAGCCACCACACCTGGCCTATTTTTATTCTTGGTCTTATAGGTCTTTTCATAATCTTAGGAGCTTTTTATATAATCAGGAAATTAGGTTTTTTGAAATATGAGTTGCAATTTTTTTCAGGTTTATTTGATAAAAGTCCCATAAGCAAAGTTTAAACTTTTTTTTTTTTTTTTTTTTTGAGACAGAGTCTTGCTCTGTCACCCAGGCTGGAGTGCAATGGTGTGATCTTGGCTTATTGCAGCCTTTGCCTCCTGGGGTCAAGTGATTCTTGTGCCTCAGCCTCTGGAGTAGCTGGGACTACAGGCATGTGCTACCGCACCCAGCTAATTTTTGAATTTTTAGTAGAGATGCGGTTTTGCCATGTTGGCCAGGCTGGTCTTGAACTCCTGACCTCAAGTGATCTACCCGCCTCAGCCTCTAAAAGTGCTGAGATTACAGGTGTGAGCCACTGCACCTGGTCAGTTTAAATATTTTTTAAAAAGTAGTTGAATTTATCAGTTAACTTTCCCATTCCAAGATTATAAAGGGTTTCTCACTTTTTCTAGTATGTTTTAGGCTTCATTTTTTTTTAAACATATAAATCTTTGATCCATTTGGAATTTAATATAATATAGATTATAAATCTGATCCTCCTTCTCACTTCCAAAGTTGCCTAGTTGTTTCATTTACTAAAAAGTTCATCTTTCACTACCTTGAAATATTTCCTTCATTGCCTATTGCCATATGTATTTGGGTTTCTCAACATTGTGTTCCTTTAGTCTATTCATGAGGCGGTATTCAGACATCTCCTGGCAATTCTTGTTTTTCTATATAAATTTATTTATTTATAGACAGGGTCTTGCTCTGTCACCCAGGCTGGAGTGGTGCAGTGGCACAATCATGGCTCACTGCAGCCTTGACTTCCTGAGCTAAAGCTATTCTCCCATCTCAGCCTCCTGCGTAGCTGGGACTACAAGCATGCACCACCATTGCTGGCTAGTTTCCTTTTTCTTTTTTTTCTTTTCTTTTTTAGAGATAGGGTCTCACTGTGTTGCCCAGGCTGGTCTTAAACTCCTGGCCTCAAGTGATCCTCCTACCTTGGGCTCCCAAAGTGCTGGGATTACAGGCATGAGCCACTGTACCCAGCCTATATACATTTCAAAATCTGTTTGTCTAGTTCTTTTTTTAAAAAATTAGCAGTATGTTTATTGGAATCCCATTAAATTTATAAATTACCTAACTTCTTTTTAAAATATAAGGGTTAAGTCTCACTAACCATACCATCACCTCTCTTTTTGTGTCCTTTAATTACCTCCCAAGTTTTCTTTATATAACTCCTGTACATTTTTTGTCGAGTATTTCGAGGTATTAAACTTATTGCTGTTGGGCCTTTTCCACATTTTGTTTTCTGTTTTGTACCCTGCTACCTTACTGCATTGTCTTCGTGTTTATCAGTTTCTCAGTACATTCTTAGGAGTTTTCCAGCTGTGTAATTATACTGTCTATAGTTATTAATGGTTTTGCCTTCTTTCCAGTCTTTATAACTGAAGCTTCTTTCTCTTTTCTACATACTTTATTTATTTATTTTTTGGTGGGGCGGGGAGCGGGGAGGCTTTCTGATTAAAAAAAAAAACAAACCAGAAAGCCTGCAAGACAAATTGTAAAAGAGCTGTAACTGTCTTTTCTACCTACTTCAGCTTGTATTTTCAGTACAGTTTAAAATATAGTAGTGCTGGTAGATAGAGATAAATGTTCTGTCTCTTCTGGATGAGTTTTAGAAAATTATTCTTTACATCCAAGTTGAATAAAGTTTATGTGTTTTCTAATGGTGGTTTTATTTTTGTTAATATTCTTGTTTTCTCTGTATTTCATTGTCACTTTTTTTTTAAGAAGTGGTTTACATATTTTAAATTATGTATTTTTTTTCTTCAGAGAACAAGCTACAATGTTAGATTAACTCATAAAGAGAAAAATAGTTGTATTAGCGTGCCTAAGCGACCGTAATCCAGCACCAGATTAGTATTGGGTGTTAGGCTTTCTGGAGTCTAATTGCTCACACACTGCAACAGAATCTAAGCCTTGAATTTTTCTTCTTTTTTTTTTTTTTGAGACAGAATCTCGCTGCCCAGGCTGGAGTGCAGTGGCCGGATCTCAGCTCACTGCAAGCTCCGCCTTCTGGGTTTACGCCATTCTCCTGCCTCAGCCTCCCAAGTAGCTGGGACTACAGGCGCCCGCCACCTCGCCCGGCTAGGTTTTTTTTTTTTTGGTATTTTTTCATGGAGACGGAGTTTCACTGTGTTAGCCAGGATGGTCTCGATCTCCTGACCTCGTGATCCACCCGTCTCAACCTCCTAAAGTGCTGGGATTACAGGCTTGAGCCACCACGCCCGGCGAATTTTTCTTCTTTAAAAACACAACTTTGCCCTTTTTTTTCCCCTTCCTTTTCTCATCAGTCTTTATGGCTTTTTACAGATATTTAAAAGATGATTTGTTTTGTGGGAATGTCACTTGTTTTTCTCCAGATTAATTTTCATTTTGTGTAATTTTGAGTAGTCCATTTCCAGCATTTCCCTTTTGTATATGAGGAAGCAAGTTTTTGCAAGAAATTCTCTGAAGTTTGCACTGCTGTCAGTGTTCACACTGTTTTCATGTAGCAGTGTATCTGCATTTGAATCTTTCTGTTATGTTATTTTGGAATTTTAGGTTTCAAACGGTATATCTAAAATCTGTTTTTTGACATCGTAATTTTCTGTGGCAAGACACTGTAAGCTCTCACCAGGTTCTTGGATTGGGTATGATTCACAGGAATTGAATGTTAGTAATCTGGGGTTGTCCTCTTTACCATTAAAAACGAGTTTTTACAACTGGTGACAAGCTGATTGCTGACCTTTCTTTAGAAATCAAGAAACTGTGTGTCAGAATTAAAAATAGGAAATCTGATTTAATTGTAGTGGGAATATCAGCTGCTTAAACAGAGATAGTAAGATTCAATTTAAGTAAATGTTTATAACCGTAGTTATGTGCATCAGTGTTACTTGCAAGGAGAAAAATGAGAAATTATGAATCATTCCAGAATTTACTGTTTTTCCTTCCTGCTTAATGGTTGGAGGAGGAGGAATGGAGAATACATTGTGATCGTTCAGTAAGAGCTTGAAGGAAAGTTATATAAAGTAATGTAAACCATATATTAGCAAGATTATAATTCATTAATTGACTTTTCCAGTGGAACTGGAAAAGTGAAAAAGTATTTTATAGTCATATTAGATTCTTTGTTTCATTTATTTTGCAGCTTTTCATGCAACACCCAACACTTACAAGCGGAAGAACACAGAAACAGCTCTAGACAACAAACCTTGTGGACCACAGTGTTACCAGCATTTGGTAAGACTTAGTGCCTTATTATTGCAGAGGGTACTTGAGAGGACTTAATTTTGCACTTTGGTGGAGGTGATCAAGTCAGCGTTAATGTTGTCTGCACCCGTGCTGTTATGGGCCATATGATAGACAGAGCTTTCTCACCCATGCTGTTTCTTCCATAGCTCATGTACTGCACATTTTAGTCTTTCATTAATGTGGTATTATTCTTTTTAAAATCTGTGTTATCTCTTCAGCAACATTTCAAGGCCTTTAGGATCAAGGACTCTTATGCCTTCCACAAAGTCTATGAGAGTTGCGAGGCACAGATAGTCCATTTAGAAAGCAGGCATGCAGTAACCATATGCAGTAGATCCTAAGCCCCTCTCATAGCCATATCCCTCTGCTTGAGTTTTAGATGCACTGTCATTTCAGCTATCTGATAGGTTCCACAGATTTTTTTTTTTTTTAAATGATGGAGAAAAGGTAAGGGGTTAGGAAAATATGAGGTAGAAAAGTTGTTTTTTACGGGTACTCTCTTATTTTTACCATTTCCCCTCTTTGAACCAAGCCACTCCTACCTAGGAACTAAATGGGTATATATTGCCTGTTGGATTTTGGACAGAAGATTCATTGAATGGCACCTGCAGAAGGTATCCTATTTTTAAGCAATTTGGTTTTTGTAGAATGAAGTATAAAACTGTTGGCTGCTGTCAAACTTCTCCCTTCTATTTCCACTAAAAATAAAATGGAATTCTTGAGCACTTGTTTTATAATATTCTTTACAAGGCAGAATTTTGTTTGGCTCATCTAAAATGTTTCTGTGGTCTCTATAAACCATGCTCTTACCATTGTTTTATACTTTGAGACTGGATTATTGTACTTCATAATGCAAGATGTAACCCTCAGAGTCTTATTCTGAAGTTCCTTTCATGTCTTCCTGTGGCTGTGTATCCTTCACAGGAAAAAAAAAAATGTTGGATGTTTTAGTAGTAAGACAGGAAGTCACAAAGTCAAGCATGTTTGTGTTTTGTGTTCTTGTATACTTTAAATATTAACACAAAGAGGTATGCATTATCTTAAACTCTGCATAGGTAGTCTGACTCCGTGCACATTAGGTATATGATTCTTTTGTAAAGACTCACTTTTAAATAGACTATGTCCATAGAGATAATTACCTTTATTACATGAAGTATATTTCATACTTTATCTTCTTATATTTTAACTTAATTATAACCAGTTAATATATTTTACAAATTCACAATATAGAACTGTCTTGCCTGATTTTTGTACCATTCTAGGAATATATAGAACCCATATTTCTCTTTCTGAAATTTTCAGACTATCAAAAGCATATCAAAAACAAGTATATTAGACATGCAAATGATTATTTGTGATAAATGGATAATGTGATAAATTTTTTGACTAACCTGGCTTATATAGTATTTTTTTTCTCTTCCATCAAAATGAGTTTTAGAACTTTGCCCTCATGTTGACATTTTTCATTTCGTAGGAGGGAGCAAAGGAGTTCGCTGCTGCTCTCACTGCTGAGCGGATAAAGACCCCACCAAAACGCCCAGGAGGCCGCAGAAGAGGACGGCTTCCCAATAACAGTAGCAGGCCCAGCACCCCCACCATTAATGTGCTGGAATCAAAGGATACAGACAGTGATAGGGAAGCAGGGACTGAAACGGGGGGAGAGAACAATGATAAAGAAGAAGAAGAGAAGAAAGACGAAACTTCGAGCTCCTCTGGTAAGACACGTCTAATAACTGGGATTTACTCTTCTGTGAAAGTTCATATTGTGAGGATTAAGGATGTATAATGCATTGAATAATTTTCTTAGTTGGTTAGTTTCAGTATAAAGACTAGAGTCTTAAGACCAGCATTATCTCAAGAATGTGTAGCTGCATTGCTTGTGTTTCCTGCCTCCACCCCTACCCTGGCTTGTGGTGTTTGCCCTGCTTGTTTGTTTGAAAGTTGATGATGCAGTTTATTCTCATTCTTTGTGCCATTTTCCTTTTTCGATCTTTCTCAGGTAGGGAATGATGAAATTCAGATCATTTGGTTTAATATTCGTGATGTTCTATGAATAGTTTTGTTAGAAAATGTGAACTACTGATGAGTTAGTATTTTACCGATTGGATTTTAGTTGTCCGTATCTTTTTGCTTTTTTCTTAAGCACACCCTGAATTTTACTTCTTAATATTATTTCCAATCATTTCTTGATCAGTGCTTGCATTTGGTTTTGTAGAAGCAAATTCTCGGTGTCAAACACCAATAAAGATGAAGCCAAATATTGAACCTCCTGAGAATGTGGAGTGGAGTGGTGCTGAAGCCTCAATGTTTAGAGTCCTCATTGGCACTTACTATGACAATTTCTGTGCCATTGCTAGGTTAATTGGGACCAAGACATGTAGACAGGTAAGATATCCAATAAAATGTTGTTAAAAGAGCTTCAAATATAGAGATAAAAGTGTACTTATTGTCCAAACAAAGAAAATTCTTGGTATTACTAAGCTCCTATTCATCTCCTAAAAATAATTTTTTTTTCTTCCCAAGAGGGAGTTGAATGAAAATTATTCTCCAGGTATGTTACAGAATTTCCCCACTGTAGACTTTTAAGGTTAGATAGTAGATTTTAAAAGCTAGTAAGAATTTAAATTTAGCATCACAGTTCTTGACCAGAATATAATTACAGCTACCCCCAATGTGAGGGTAGGGACAGCGATGTCTGTTATATCCCCAGCATCTAGCAGTGTCACAGAAGAGACAGACGTTTTTCTGGTATGCATGAGTATAAGAATGGTTTGCCTAAATAAGACTGTCCTCATGGCTCTATGACTGTGCCTCTTGTCAGGTGTATGAGTTTAGAGTCAAAGAATCTAGCATCATAGCTCCAGCTCCTGCTGAGGATGTGGACACTCCTCCAAGGAAAAAGAAGAGGAAACACCGGTGAGTCTGCCATGAAGCTGCTTAGAGAAGTCAACACAGATAGACACTGCAGGCAAGGCCCTTCCTATGAGCCGTTGTTGGTTTGTACTTAGTCTATTTTAAAAAAACCTTAAACTGCCATCAAAAACAGAACTATGGAATCTTATTTCCACTGGGAATTGCTAGTATTTTTCTATAAGAATACAGCAGCCTTCAGTATATTTGGTATGTTAAGAGTCATAAAAATTATAGTTACCAGACGGAATTTGGGTTAAGAAAAACATATTTAGTAGCTTTTTCAGTAAAGGCTATATAAACAATTACTTTAACATCATGAAATGTTCTGTGTTTCTGATGTGAGCTCTGGCCCAGTTTTTAGAAGTATCTTTTATTCCAGGAGCTTGAATTTCTAAGTTGTGTGGTATTGCATTCCGATACTCCTAATGGGTACCCTACTATAATATAAGCCTGTTGTGAATGTTACTGTCACCTTAGCAAATGTTTTCAGGTTGATTTGATTTGTAAATGTAGAGCCAGAAAAATTTACAAATGGACTATCTGCCCTAATCTCCCCATACCTCCACCTCACATGTTTAAAAATGAGAAACGTAAGGGTGCAGTTAGATTATGCTTCAAAAATTGTGTACAGGCTCATGTTACATTTTGTTACTTTAACATTTTGTTACTTTAACAAAAATAAGTGTAGGGCCAACCCAATTTAGAATTTTTTAAAAGTCAAGTTTTTTTTTTTCCCATAGGAATTTAGGCTTTAGGAGATGCTTCTTAAATTTTGGTTGAATTATTTCTGACCATGTAGTTCACTTGATTGGTTTATGATGCCTGAAATTAGAGGAAGTGATCAGTGTCATCCACATCAGAATAAATCAACAGGCAGACACACCAGCTGCTTTGTGCAGCATTGGGAGCTCAGGAGTTCTGACCAGGAGTCATGGATGAACACAGGAAATGACGTCTTGCCACACCTGGGGCAGCCTGAGCCATCAAGCTGTTTGAGTTGCTTCAAACTGATGGCAAATATAAACTGGGCAGGGCATGACTCTTGGCTTTAACGCACTGCTGTATTCATGGCACGGATAGATCCAGTTAAGCAGCTCTCTGTTGGATTTGTAGTGTCCCGCAGAAGTTTGGTTTCATTTTCTTTGTGTTTTTGCAGGTTGTGGGCTGCACACTGCAGAAAGATACAGCTGAAAAAGGGTTAGCATCTTTCCATTCCCCTCATTATTAGCTTAACAATGTCTGCTTTGTTTTCATTTGTTTTAGAATAGTAACTGGATTAGAGCTTGGGTTATTCTAATGTAATTGCCTTCTCTACATTAAACCAATTCGAATGGAGAATGTCTATTGATGAATACCCAGTCAATTCTCTTCTGTAAAGTGGAGGCTGACTGGAAGGTATGAGTCCGAGTCGGTTGAAGGAGAAGTGCTTTGGGATGGGACTTTGATGTAGCCACGCTGTATCTAGATGGAACTCACAAGCACCTGGGGGTGGGAGAGTATTTTTGCCATCGTTTTGGAAACCGGAATATGTGTAACGTTATGCATTCAGTAAAGGCAGGCCAGCTACCCTCCACAGGTAGTAGGGAAGAATGTACTCGTGTTAATTGTGTATGATCGTTTCCATCTCCCTGGATTCATTGGCCTGCATGATGTTATCTTTACTCAGACGGCTCCTCTAACCATGTTTACAACTATCAACCCTGTGATCATCCACGGCAGCCTTGTGACAGTTCGTGCCCTTGTGTGATAGCACAAAATTTTTGTGAAAAGTTTTGTCAATGTAGTTCAGAGTGTAAGTATTTGTTGCTTTGATGCAATTGCATGAGAACTAAATAGGCCTTTGGTTAGCAATTTAAAAAATCAAAAATAAGAACACGGGAGCACTCCCTTGTTTACTTGACGAAACTCTTGGATTTGACAAGTATTTTTATTGAGCCCCATACCTGGCCCTGTGCCACTGGCTGGTCAGTCGCCTGGGTGTTGTGTGTCTGTGTGTGTGAGGCAGGCAAAGTTGTATTAAAGGAACCTGAATTTTATTTTTTTTCTTCTTTGATCATTTAAATTAAGTTGTATTAAAGTCGGCACAGATTGTAAGAGGAATCTAGAAGGAGCTACCCAGATAATTTTTGGACACCAGAAATTGTCAGAGTTAGGAGGGTTTTAGTCTTCAGAATAAAGGAATGTAGCATAAACGTAGTGGATTTTTATAATTGTTTAATGAGACTGCACATGAAGCTTGAGTACTAAGGGAGTGTTGAGAACTAGGGGCTATGAGAATGGTCAAGGACCATGGATATTGTTTCTTCACACTTACTTTATTCACACTTACTTTAAATATATACACTGTTTAACAAATGATAAATGGAAAAACTTGGTGGTCTTTTTCATACAAACAGCTTTAACTTCGCTGTTAATACTTCCATTTCCTTGTCTGTATAGTAGGGCAATAAGGTGGTTGTGAGGGTTGAGAGTCAGCCAGATGCTCAGTACACCCCTTGCCACGTATCTTTCTGCAAGTTTTTGCATATGGTGATGATGGTGATGGTGGTTATGAGTGAAGAACCTCCAAACCTCTCTCTGAAGGTCAAAACCGCTTTCCGGGATGCCGCTGCAAAGCACAGTGCAACACCAAGCAGTGCCCGTGCTACCTGGCCGTCCGAGAGTGTGACCCTGACCTCTGTCTTACTTGTGGAGCCGCTGACCATTGGGACAGTAAAAATGTGTCCTGCAAGAACTGCAGTATTCAGCGGGGCTCCAAAAAGGTGAGTAACAGTCGCTTCTGGAAGATTGTTAGTAGTTAGCTATTTAGTGATGCAAATGTCAGGATTGTCTTAGATGATTTAGCTGGGGCAAAAAGTAAAAGTGATCCTTGAAAGGTGCAACTGATGAGAAAGTGTTGATAATTTTCGCTGGGTAGTGCACCCTTGGGCAGTCTCTTCAGTTTTCTATAGAGCACTGTACTCCGATAGTAGGAGAAACCAGCAAATTCTGAGAAGTAGCCATTCATGGCATCAGATTTGGAATAAGATGTATTTTTTCTAGCGGTTTAATAGATTATTTGAATTTCTCTTTTAGTTAATGAAACTAGTAGTTTAGTATCCTTAATGCAAATAAATGGTTATTTCTATCAAAATATAGACTCATTCTCATCAAAGAGTATAGATTCCTTATTATGTAGAGTAAAAGGTGAAATTTCCCATGGCAGGTTTTTATAGACTTACTTTCTGTTTGTTTAATAACTTTGAGGCCGGGCGCGGTGGCTCACGCCTGTAATCCCAGCACTTTGGGAGGCCGAGGTGGGCTGATCACGAGGTCAGGAGATTGAGATCATCCTGGCTAACATGGTGAAACCCTATTTCTACTAAAAATACGAAAAAATTAGCCGGGCGTGGTGGCGGGCGCCTGTAGTCCTAGCTACTTGGGAGGCTGAGGCAGGAGAATGGCGTGAACCCAGGAGGCGGAGCTTGCAGTGAACAGAGATCGGGCCACTGCACTCCAGCCTGGGGGACAGAGTGAAACTCTGTCTCAAAAAACAAAACAAAGAAATAAACAAAAACCTTGAAAAAAATCCAGCTAGGAATTCTGTATTTTTAGTGTGGAGAATTGTATGTAGATGGTTTAACTCTCTGAGCCAGGAAGTAATGACTGAGTGAAAGAAACTCTAGCAGCATGTGTTTGGGGAATCCTTTTTTTTTTTTTTTTTTTTTTTTTTAAGGCAGATAAGGTCTTTCTTCAGTTCTTTTTATAATAATAGCTGACATTTATTAAGCATGTAAAAATAGCAGGCACTGTTCTAAGTGCTTTAGTGGATTGGTTCATTGATCCTCCTAACCCTGTGAGTGAGGAATAAGTGTTAACCCCGTTTTACGGGTAAGGAAACCCAAAGTCACAAGACTTGTAAAGGAGCAGGAGATCAAATCCTCCAGGCTCCCATTACCTGCCCTTATGCTGTGTGTGTGTGTGTGTGTGGTGTAGAGTAGACATATCTTTGTTGTTGGACCATTTATTTATAATTGAGATCACACTTCCTACCAGCAAGTCGCCTTCTACCAGAAATTGTGCTCCAGGCAAAACACTGAAGTTTTCTTGGTTTTGTTTCCTTATGTTTTTGAACCAAAGTCTGTGTTTATGGCAGAGAGCTGTGCAGGGTGGTGGGTTTTTTGTTTTTAGCTGTGACTTTTTTCTATCAGACATTTAGATCATTTTACTCTAGGCAGTTATATGTCCATTTAGGTCACTGGATCACAGTGACGCTGGTTCAATTTCCGATGGCATACCCGCTCAGACCTAAAAATCTCAATTTCTCCCCCAAACAGCTTACCATTGTACTCCTTCCTGACTTTGTTCAGAAAGTGGGTAATTCTATTCATACTGACATGTCCTCTTTATAAGACATTTTTTAACTCTGAAAAATGTTAAACTATGTAGATACTTTTTACCAGTTGGGTTTCACTTGCACAGCAGTAGTTAGCTGTTTAGTTTCTGATCAGAAGGATATTTGGGAAGTTCACCTGACAGGTGAGTGGTAAGATGGTCCAGAATAGGAATAGATTGGAAGCTTAGGTGATCAGGGAAGCCTTTGTAAAGGTCACAAGAAAATTTTGGATGAAAGCATAATAATGAGCCATGATGAAAAATTGGCATATGTTTGGGAACACATCCCTAAATACATAATTTACAGCAATGATCATCTCGGCATTTCTGCTGAAAATAGACTACTGGACTGACAAGATCATGGTAATCCCTCCCGATAGTTTCTCGTGTTATCCTGAGGAGGTGGGGTGGAAGAACAAATCCAAAGCCAAGTTGCCATGGGCTTCAGAGGGAACCAGCACCAGCGAAGAATCAGGGGTGTCCTGAGGCTGAAAATGGAATAACTGTTAATAGAAATCACTTGGGGGAAGTAGAGGGAAAGGTATGGAGAAGAAGAGCGATTTGGTGGTGTCCTTAAATTCAGGTTGAAAGTAAATTACTCGAGGAAATCAAGGGCTGAAGAAACAGGGAAGCCAAAAGTGCAGCAGGCCTAGAGCACCTTGCTGAATGATGGTCATTGCAGAGGACTAACACCACCAAAGGGTTTTCTGTAAGACAGAGATTCTTATCTGCTGTATAAGAAAAACATAATGTTCATAGCCATTCTCAGCAGCTTTCACGTTGACTGAAGCTGTGTGCTGCATTACTGCCTTAGAACAGGTCTGAGGGTTTACAGTGATAGCTTTTGTTTTCATTCCGTAGTCTGCTTTGTCCCCAGTCCATCTTCACCCTCCTTTTTTGATTGTAATTGTGTTTTATTCTCTAGCATCTATTGCTGGCACCATCTGATGTGGCAGGCTGGGGGATTTTTATCAAAGATCCTGTGCAGAAAAATGAATTCATCTCAGAATACTGTGGAGAGGTAAGGCACTGATTACCTGTATTCAGGTGGCATTGTATATACTAACTTTTCTTTATTTTAGATTGATTTTATTAGGTAAATCTGTGGATTTGATTGGGAATGAATTGCCATAAACTGCCTTTTAAGCCTGGACTTCTGCATGTTTGTGGATTTGCATGCTTAGTAACTGGATTGTGCTGGGCACGGTGGCTGACTCCTGCAATCACAGCACTTTGGGAGGCTGAGGCACGTGGATTGCTTGAGCTCAGGAGTTGGGAGACCAGCATGGGCAACATGGCGAGACCCCATTGCTACAAAAAATGCAAAAATTAGCCGGGCATGGTGGTGCATACCTGTAGTCCCAGCTACTTGGGAGCTGAGGGAGGAAGATCGCTTGAGCCTGGGAGGTTGAGGCTGCAGTGAGCCATATTTGTGCCACTGCACTCCAGCCTGGGCAACAAAGTGAGACCCTGTCTCAGAGGAAAACAAAACAAAACAGGATTGCTTGGTTCTAGCCACATTTAGCTTTTCTCATCTATGGTCAACAGGGAGAACAAGAGCTTTACCATAGAGTGTCCTGCTTAATCCACAACCTAGTTGATAAGGATGTAGAAACAACAGTGTCATTAGTTATTCACCTTTTAAATTGTTGAGTTACCGAAAAATCATAGGGCTAGCTTCAATTTGGAACCAACTCACCCAAATTTTTTTTTTTTTTGAGATGGAGTTTCGCTCTTGTTGCCCAGGATGGAGTGCGATGGTGCGATCTTGGCCCCCTGCAACCTCCGCCTCCCAGGTTCAAGCGATTCTCCTGCCTCAGCCTCCCGAGTAGCTGGGATTACAGGCATGTGCCACCACGCTCAGCTGATTTTGCATTTTTAGTAGAGATGGGGTTTCTCCATGTTGGTTAGGCTGGTCCTGAACTGCCGACCTCAGGTGATCTGCCTGCCTCAGCCTCCCAAAGTGCTGGGATTACAGGCGTGAGCCACTGCGGCCAACTTGTGTGTGTGTGTGTGTGTGTGTGTGTGTGTGTGTTTTTTAAGTTCAGCAAAAAGACTTTGGTTCCTCACTTTCTCCAAGGGTAATTACTTCAGGATGTGGAAATATTTCTGAGTTGGGGTCCTTAATATACAGTTATTCTTAGATTTATCAGTGTGCAGACTGAATGGGAAAGAGAACTTGGCTGTAGTGACCCTTTTTGTTTTCTTCCAAAGGTCCAGTATTCACTGTGTGTGCTTTTGCATGTGCTGTCAGACTTGATCACCTTTATCCAAAAGAATTTTCTCTTGTGTCTTTCTTTTTAGATTATTTCTCAAGATGAAGCTGACAGAAGAGGGAAAGTATATGATAAATACATGTGCAGCTTTCTGTTCAACTTGAACAATGGTATGTGTCTAAGCTGGGAGGCAGTGAGTTCCTCTGAGTTGCATGTGGCAGCCTTCTGCCTGCCAAGTGTTCAGAAACGAGGGTGGAGGTCAGTGAGGTGACTGGAAGGAGGATCTCCTTAGAGGCATGGGGGGCTGCTTGCTTGAAAGGAACTGGAGCAAGGAATTCCTCAGGGAGCAGATGGACTAGGTGTGCAGGAAACCGCCTCTCTGAAGCCCTGGCCATCTGTGAGTGGCGCTGTACCAGTGTCTGGCTGTGACGGGGACGTTGTGCTCTTGCTGCCTCACCTCTTGTGTTCAGGCAGCTCAGCACACCTCCTCCGGTCGGTGCCTCTGAGCTGGGAAGGAGGGGAGGAGCACTGCATTTGAAAGCATCTTCCAGACTCCCCTGGATATTCTCAAAGGACTGGGAGGAAAGGCAGCTGCTTTCATAGCTGATGTTCTGGGGTAGAATGTAAGTCTGTAGGGATATTTCTGGTGGGATTATGTGAAAATGGAGGTTGGCTTAACATGTAAGATGTTCAGAGAAACTCTTAGTTGGAACAAGTAGAACAGATTTTTTCTAGGAACGCTTTATAGACATTATAAAAAAAACTAATGTTAAATGTGAAAATGCCTATTCTTGATGTTCAGAAGAATTTTGTCAGATTCTTTTTAATTTTTTTAAATTTTGCTTAGTAATGTATGTTTATAGTTGATAATTAATAGCTTTTGTGTCAGATAACCATCTTGAATTATAGGTGATTAATTTTAACCTGGAACAATAGTGTGTTCTTCCAAATGTCATTTCTTACTGAATGAAGTTGCTTGAATGATTTATTTGCTTTTGCAGGCAAACCCCGAAGAACTATAACCGGTTGCATTTACAGAATCATAATAACTTGATTTACTTATAACTGAAATTATTCACTGGGCTTATTTTCTTCTTTTTAGATTTTGTGGTGGATGCAACCCGCAAGGGTAACAAAATTCGTTTTGCAAATCATTCGGTAAATCCAAACTGCTATGCAAAAGGTAGGTATCTTTAACGTCAGAATTGGAACTCCCTTTTTAATCCTGTGATGATGGACTTGAATACTTCTGGGATAGTTGTTTGTTATGTGAACAAGTCAGTTAACCTCCCGTGGCCTGTCTTCATGCTCACTGACACCAGTGTGTCTCTTTCCAGTTATGATGGTTAACGGCGATCACAGGATAGGTATTTTTGCCAAGAGAGCCATCCAGACTGGTGAAGAGCTGTTTTTTGATTACAGGTTGGTAAAATACATTTCTAACATGATCTCTAAGGGCTTTTTCTACTGGATTGTGAACGCTGGGCGAAGGATTTTTTTAGTTCTTTGCTAGATGTGCTGAGGGGTGGGGGTGAGTTCTTTTGACGGGTCACTTTGCCTTGAGCATTAGTGGGGAATTAGGTTATACTTTCCTGTTATGTATTCATGATCCATTTATTTATTATACAAGTCATGCTTATTTTAAAAATAGAATAAAATCCATGCAGAAAGCCCTGTTTCTCACCCTGCTGTTGACAGCTGGGTGAGTCCTAGACCTTCTCATATCATGCTGCATGCTGCATGCTTGCTTGTGGAGCGTTTTTCCAGATAAGTGTGATCACACTGTCCTATAGATTTTTCTGCAACATGGTTTTATTTGACAGTATACTATGTATATCTTTACTGATTAGATCTACTTAATTTATTGTTTGCTATAATACTTATTACACATATCATTACCATTTTAAAAGATGCTGTTGGCAAATCACTGTCTGGTCACCCTGTGGGGATGCCTGGGACATGTGGGCCACCGATGGTATCTGTGTGGTTAGGCATTAGGCTGCCAGTTGACACAGTCAAGCTCTGTGGGATACATTTAAGTCATCCATTGAATACAGATTTAGGTGCAGTCAGATGACTGTCTAGTTAATGAACTCCTGTGGTCCCATGTACATCCCATCCAGAAGCTGTCTTTGAGTACTGAGTTCTTGCATATTCAGGCTGGCCTTTAATGGCTGTTGCATAGCCGAGAGCTCTCAGTGAGGCAGACAGGGTCTGAGTGAAAGGCCCACTTTACTGAGGGCCGCTGCCTTCATTCCAGGCCAGCTCTGAATGAAGAGTGTGGGGTGGAGCTGGGGTTGGAGGCAAAGCCATCCAGTTTCCTTGGGATGGCCTGGTGGCCCCACCCACTATTTCTGGGTGTCCACTGTACTCCAGTTCTTTCTTCACCTGGGGGAGCAACTGGCGGGCTGCTCTTTGGCCCTCTTTGCTATGGTCATCGTTTTTTTCCAGACCATGGGTCTATTTTGCCTTTCCACCGTCGGGCCTAAACATCATGATGTGGACCAGCCTTCCTGGGGCCACTTGCTTCAGAGGCATAGGGGAGGCTGGGCAAGCTCTGGAAATGCTTGTAGACAGGTTCGTTCAGTTCAGGACTTGGCAGTGTCTCAATTAGATGGCCAGCAACGCAGACCTACGCATTGCCTTCTATGAATGTGCCCTTATGCAGGCAGCTGTATAATTGGATGGTTTTTTTTTTTTTTTTTTTTTTTAAAGACATTTTAATGCACCCACTGTCTTCAGCAGGCTTTGTTGTGTTAAGTCTCAGCACATGTTGGATGGGTGGTCATCCAGCGGACATCTGCTTCTTCCTGTTGTTTCAGATACAGCCAGGCTGATGCCCTGAAGTATGTCGGCATCGAAAGAGAAATGGAAATCCCTTGACATCTGCTACCTCCTCCCCCTCCTCTCTGAAACAGCTGCCTTAGCTTCAGGAACCTCGAGTACTGTGGGCAATTTAGAAAAAGAAAATGCAGTTTGAAATTCTGAATTTGCAAAGTACTGTAAGAATAATTTATAGTAATGAGTTTAAAAATCAACTTTTTATTGCCTTCTCACCAGCTGCAAAGTGTTTTGTACCAGTGAATTTTTGCAATAATGCAGTATGGTACATTTTTCAACTTTGAATAAAGAATACTTGAACTTGTCCTTGTTGAGTCATCTCTCATAACATGTCAATAACTGCTTTTAGTACTGCCCAACAAAAAACTTTTAAATTTACCTTCTTGGGTTTTTTAGTTGTCTTTGTATGAATCTTGATTTTAACTAATACTGCCCGTTAATATGTGGAAGACATTCATATATGAAGAACTGCTGTGCATCCTGAGGGCTGACCCAGTAAAGGGCTTGATTTTATAGACAAGACCAGGGTGGGTGGGTACATTCCAGTCAGCTGTGCAAATTGGAGAAAGTGATTTAACCTCAAAGTCTGTTCCCCATATATAAACTGACAGAGTAGACTTAGGTTATTTTTAAGAACTCACCTAGTTCTAAATGCCGTTAGTCTAGATAGAGTTCTTTAGAAATACAATATAAGTTGGGATTCCTTACCTACCTACTGACAGGTATAACCAAACTAGTTTTATATCTTCTCAAAGAAGAGGTAAAAATCACAAACTCTTAAGCATCAAGGAAACAACATGTGCTTTGCATGCCTTACGATGTGGTTGGTCTCAGAATTTGAGGGAATTTCTCTGCACCCTCCCCCGGTACATTCACCAGCAGCATCATAGGAACCCTCACAACCGCTGCAAACCAGACCACACTCAGTTACTTGGCAGTTGCCCTTTCTACAGTTAGATTTTATTTACAATGTGATAGTATTAATGTGAAACCTAATTAAATCGACTCATTTTGCTTTCCAGTTCCACAACATTTGCGAGATCAGGTCTCCATCACATCAGTGCACAGGCGCAGCAACTTGAGTCCTAAAGTTAATTTGCCACTTGATTTGGGATCGAGGAGACCCTCCCTGAGCCTCGTCCCATGGTTTCTTAATGACAGTGCTGATCTATTTTATGTCTAAATAACTATCTCCACTCTCACCCAGAAAATGGTACCATCCACTTAAGAGCTTGTTGCCCTCGATGCCCTCATGTTCCACTCTTGGCACTCAGCAGGACCCTGAGGCCAGTTACTTCATTATTTGGGTTAGGTCATTCTCTAGATGGCTCAATGGCCTTGTTTAGGCACAGGCGAAATGGAGCCCATCTGCTCATCATCACATGTAGGCCTGTTCATGAGACCCCAAAGATTACTTGGGCCCAAAAGTACCTGTTGACATGGCTCATTCCAGCCACAGCCCTCAACCCATCCTCAGAGGAACAGCTGGGAAATGGATCCTTGAGGCCTCCAGTGAGCACAATGTACCAGAGCCCCAAATGCATAGGAAAGACAAAGGGGCACGATGGAAAGCAGTAGTTTTTGAGCCCTGTCTGATGTATTCTTAATGCACAGCAAGCTTTTTGTACCATGATTTGAAATGTGCTTCTGTAAATGCCTCTTCAGTGACTTCCATGAACACAGATTTCTGAACAGAACTGCTTGACATAATAACCCATTTGATACAACCTAAGCTTGTCTGGCCTGTGGACGGCCGGTTGCATACAGCCCAACACAAATTCGTAAACTGTCTTAAAACATTGAGGTTTTTTGTGAATTTTTTTTTTTTTTTTTTTTAAAGACAGGGTATTTTGCTCTGTTACTACTGGAGTATAGTGGTGCAGTCTTGACTCACTGCAACCTCTGCCTCCCAGGTTCAAGCGATTCTCCTGCCTCAGCCTCCTGAATACCTGGGATTATAGGCACAGGCCACCCCACCCGTTTAATTTTTGTGTTTTTAGTAGAGGTGGGGTTTCGCCATGTTGGCCAGGCTGGTCTTGAACTCCCCCTAGTGATCTACCCACCTCGGCCTCCCAAAGTGCTGGGATTACAGGTGTGAGCTGCTCCGCCCAGCATGGCTTTTTTTTTTTTTTTTTTTTTTTTTTTTAAAGCTCATCAGCTACTTATTACAAGGCTTGACATATAGAATAGGCAGCATCTCACCCACAGACTAACTTCTGTTGGTTAGAGGCACCCAGAAGCTGTGCCAGGTTTTCATTAATGTCTGGTTCATCCCATCTCCAGTCTTCACTGTTTCATGCCGGGTCCTCACTTCCACTTCTACCCAGGGTGTTCAACTCTACCAAAGTCAAATCAAATGTCAACCCACACATTTAAGCTTGTAGATAGCTCATCAAGACTGGATCCAAGTGTAAACATTTTGAAAACCATATTCTGTTAAATAATTCTTAATGGAACTAGTTGAAATAATTGCCTATCTGCTCAGTCCCTTGATATAAACAATTCCAGTGAGGGCTACACATGGATACCTGGTATTAGAAGTGGTCCACACTCACCTGTTACGGCAAGGGCATTGTTGCGGCTGGGCCCTGGACAGGGTCATGAACTGGACAGATGAGCGATGAGGGTATAAAAAATGAACCTGGGCAGCCAAGTGACTGATTCCTACGAACAAGAAGTTGTCTTCATTAGAAGGGGGATTCAATTCAAATAGCTGAAGACCAGCAAGCATGTTTCCAGCTGGGCTGGTAATTCTAAATTTCAAAGGAAAATTAGGTACCAATATTCATCAAGGAGCGGCATCTTAAAATGCTGTCAGTAAAGATATGTTACATTACAGCAACTGTTGGTCCTGTAATCACTGTTTCTTACCCACTAGCTGGGGCCAATCTTCAGATTCCGGACTTGTGGTGTGCCTGGCCAGCAGTCTGAGTCTATACCCCATGCTTAACAGAGCCCAACCAGGAGACTTACCTTCCAGGCAGGCGCTGAGATCAAGGTCCTCCCGCGTTCCCTCAGGCTGCAGCAGCACATACTTAGCCTGTGCATCTGGTCTTAGTACACAGCCCAGCTCTGATTAAACCACAACGAATGTTTCTACAACCCAGGGGGTAAAATACTGATCTTATAAAATGAGTTAAAGTTGTCAGTAGATTAAACCTTTGTTGCTGTGATATTGTTTCCAACCTCTTTGGCCATGATTCCAAGATAATCAGCCTTGGTCTCAGGGGGTAACAACCACGCTGTGGAGACCCCCACTAGGATTTGGCAGCAAATAACAGCCCCAGGTTTTTGGTGTTCTAGAGAGAGGCTCCCCTATACTTCAAAAAAGGGTAAAAGAAAGAGTGACAATGTGAGCGCTCCGGGGCTAGATTAGTTCAGTGATACTGCGCTTGGTGGTTCTTTGTAAACCATTTTTCTTTTTTTGAGACGGAGTCTTGCTCTGTCACACAGGCTGGAGTGCAGTGGCACGATCTCAGCTCACTGCAACCTCTGCCTCTGAGGTTCAAGCGATCCCCCTGCCTCAGCCTCCCAAGTGGCTGGGACTACAGGCGCGCACTACCACAACTGGCTCATTTTTGTATTTGTAGTAGAGACAGGGTTTCACCACGTTGGCCAGGCTGGTCTCGAACTCCTGACCTCAAGTGATCCGCCTGCCCAGCCTCCCAAAGTGCTGGGATTACAGGCGTGAGCCACTGTGCCTGGCCACAATTTTCACAATTACAGCCAGTAACAAAAAGCCAATTGTGCACACACAAGTATTTTGTCCGAGAAGAGGGCTTGAGAACTGGGAGGAATGTGACCTTCCTCCTGGGTTCTAACCATGCTGCCCACGTGTAGGGACTGAACACCAGGGGGTTTCCAGAAGCCTGGGGCTCTGCCTCTGAGCGACTTATTAAGTTGTCCTGAAAAAGAATCCCTCAGAGAATGTCTCCCTTTCCATGTCTTACCAAGAGAAAAGGAGTCAACCTACACATAAGGGACATTTGGGCCTAAACACAGGTCTTGAATTGCCTTTTCTTTCACACCAGTCAACACGGTACACTTAGCCAGCGTGAAGGGGAGCAGGTAAAGGCCGGGAATCTGAAGGTGTGGGGTGAACTCCCGACTCGCCCATCTCTCAGCTCACCTTCACTTACCATGAGGAATTTCCACGGGACCAAGGTACTTACCCAAGTGCCTGCTTGATCCCGGAGGGACTGAAGAGACCAGCAAACTCATGACAATATTTCCTATCATTCACAGGACTGAAATGCACAAGCTCTTGAGGCAGGTCTGTGGTGTCCTTTGCAGCATGCTTTTCTCACAGGCACAACAATGGACTGGTCTGAGGAAAAGCAAGAGGTGAGCTTCACTCCCAGTGCGGCGCGACGGGGGCAGTTTCCGGGCTGTCCCGTGGAGGGAGGGGTGGAGTTCGGAACACCAGCTGCTTCCTGCCTGGCTTCTATACTGAGACTCTTCACTAGATTGTTTGAAAAAGGGGATATGCTAAAAAAAAATAAATAAATAAAAAAAAGTGTGGAAACCATTAAGTACTCAGTTGATTACCATTTTACTTTTTAACCTGTGTGACTTTTTCGTGACAGGGCTGCTTTGTTTTCCAGGCTGGAGTGCAGTGTTCTTGGCTCTCTGTAGCTTCAGCCTCCTGGGCTCAAGCGATCCTCCTGCCTCAGCCTTGTGAGTGGTTGGGACCACAAATGTGCGCCACCAAGCCTGGCTAATTTTTGTAGAGATGGAGGCTCCCTATGTTGCACAGGGCTGAGCTCTCTCCAAGTGCTGGGCTTACAGCCGTGAGCTATCTTGTGCCTGGCCCTCCGTAATACATATATATTGTTTCGAGACAGAGTCTCGCCCTGCTGCCCAGGCTGGAGTGCAGTGGCGCGATCTCAGCTCACTGCAACCTCCGCCTTCCGCGTTCAAGCGATTCTCCTGCTTCAGCCTCCCGAGTAGCTGGGATTACAGGCGCCCGCCACCACGCCCGGTTAATTTTTTGTATGTTTAGTAGAGACGGGGTTTCACCATGTTGGCAAGGCTGGTCCTGAACTCCTGACATTGTGATCCACCCACCTCAGCCTCCCAAATTGCTGGGATTACAGGCATAAGCCACCATGCCCAGCCCCTATGTAACTTTTTTAACTAACCCGTCAGGTGTCTGACTGTCGTGAGAAACCCGAGGAACTTGTACTTATTTTGTTAGCTATGTCTTCCCTCCACCTGGCTAACTTGCACTCGGGCACAGGTATGGTATACTAAGGATGTTCGAGATTTATCACTTGCAAAACCTGTGAGGTACCTGAAGCTTCTATGAGGAAAACAAAGTTACTGGGAGCAAAGCAGCATCCCTGACCCTGGCTGGGAAGTGACTGACCCGGCAAATGAGACAGAAGGAAGAAGCTACACTGAGGCGCAGGCAGGCGACATGTAGGGTTCCTGAAGGGACTGCTTCCAGGATGTGGTTACATCCGTGCCGGGAGGAGGGGTGGGGTGTGCATCCCCATGGCCCAGGACCTCCTCTCCTGGGGACACACTGGGGCAAACATTCCATTCTCAGGGAGGAGTAACTTCTTTTTCTTTGAGACAGAGTTTCGCTCTTGTTGCCCAGGCTGGAGTGCAGTGGCACGATCCTAGCTCACTACCACCTCCACCTCCTGGGTTCACACCATTTTCCTGCCTCAGCCTCCCGAGTAGCTGGGATTATAGGCACACACCACCATGCCCGGCTAATTTTTGTATTTTTAGTAGAGAGGGGGTTTCTCCATGTTGGTCAGGCTGGTCTCGAACTTCCGACCTCTGGTGATCTGCCTGCCTCAGCCTCCCAAAGTGGAATAACTCTTCTAACAGCTAAGAACATGGTCCAATTTGCCAGCATGTGCCTGAAAAGCAAGAGAACCTTGGCTCCCTGACGTAGTGCTGGCACAAGGGTGAGTCCAGGGAGCTTCACCAGTCAAAGCCAATGTTTTGATCTGTCAGCTACTCATAACCACCTGCTGCAACCAGAACAGAAGCGTGGACGAGCGCGCTCTGCCGTGTCCCGAGCCCACGAGTAGGAACAGAGAGCGTGGACGGCGCTCTGCCGTGTCAGGCCACGGCCGGAACAGAGCGTGGGCCAGCGCGCTCTGCGTGTCCGAGCTGACCGCGGAATGGGCGTAGACGGCGCGCTCTGCCGTGTCAGGCCACGGCAGACAGAGGCGTGGGCCGGCGCTCTGCCGTGTCGAGCCGGCCCCGGAACAGAGGCGTGGGCCGAGCGCGCTCTACCGTGTCCCGAGCCACGGCGGGAACAGAAGCGTGGGCCAGCCCGCGGCTCTGCCGTGTCCGAGCCCCCGGCCGGAATAAGAAGGCGTAGACGGCGCGGCTCTGCGATGTCAGGCCTGACCGGAACAGAGCGTGGGCGGCGCGCTCTCACCGTGTCGAGCCACGACCGGAACAGAAGCGTGGTGGCGGAATGCTGCGTGTCAGCCTACGAGCCCGGAACAGAAGCGTGGGCCAAGCGCGCTCTGCCGTGTCAGGCCACGGCCAGGTGAAGCGTGGGCAGCTTGGCTCTGCTGCCGTGTCAGCCTGACCGGAACAAGCCTGGATGAGTGGGCTCTGCCGTGTCCAGGCCCGACTGGGGCAGAAGGCGCTGGTGGCAGGCCCCTGCGTGTCCCGTCCTGTGCTCTCCCTTCAGCCCAAACTCAGGGAGGCTGGTGGTGACCAGGATCATGAACCCGACCACTCACCTTCAATCTATCTTCCTCTGAGGCAATAATCTTCCCTCATGGCCTCAGTTTCCCCACCTGCGCTCTGCCGTGTCCCGAGCCCACGACCGGAACAGAAGCCTGGATGAGTGGGCTCTGCCGTGTCCCGAGCCCACGACTGGAACAGAAGCGTGGACGAGCGGGCCCTGCCGTGTCCCGTGCCTGTGCTCTCCACGCCAACCCAAACTCAGGGAGGAGAGGCTGGTGGTGACCAGGGATCCTGGAGCCCGGCCACTCACCTTCAATCCTACCTCTTCTACTCACTAGAGGCATCTTCCCTCATCTGGCCTCAGTTTCCCCACCTGCAAAAAGGAGGATACTGTTTCACACATAGACTGTCAGGGTAACTCATTTAGTCCTTACAAATGTCAAAGCGAACCAATGTGTGGTCAGCGACTCTCACTGAATCCAGTGACACAGTGCATTCAAGTCACCACAGAAGTCACAAAAATAAGCAGGATTTTTTTTTTAAAGGATTACACCGGGGCTTAAAATTTTAAGATCTTAAAAAATTTTCAATCCAAAGAATACAGCCCTTTTAAACTACAGGAAGACACTAGGAATATAAATTTGCACAATCATTATATCTTTTATTTACATATAGAAATTAGTAAAACTTAAAACAAAACCAAATGCGACTTGTACAGAAATCCTTTAATTTTCTTTATTTTCACACATTAAAAAATGAAACACACTATACAAATGGTTTTCATAGCAGATTACATGTGGGTCCATTCACACTTGCTCTCAAAGTGCTGCCAACGTGACAAGTGCTGCCAAGGCGACAGCTGCGAATCGGGGAGCCCATGTATTGACGTAGATGCGGTAGCATGCAGCCCTCGGCATGGAGGGTCAGTCCCCGCTGTTCTTAAATTAGGGTAAATGGCGTTGGTGTCCGTATTTACAGACTTGAAATGTATCAATCCTGAGCAGTTCCGATGTAAATCCGAGACCAGCTGATGGGAGTCTTGGTCTCAGTTTTAAAAAGGGAGGTCCAATGGCGGCAGGCTGGCTGCTATGAACTTGAGTTGTTTTCATTCTTTCCAACATGAACTATTTGCCGCGGGTCACACAGTCAGACCCTTCCAGAAGGGTTAAGCCAAGTAACTGTAGGTGTCCTTTTCGCCATCAACTCGCTCCAAATATTCTTTCTCAATTAGAATGTCAATGCATTTCTGGGTGTTATTTTTAAAAAGGAAGAGGTAGTGAAAGAGAAGAAAAACACGAATTATCATCAGAACAGAGAGAGGCTGCCCCCACCACAGATCTCCCCATGCGGAGCTCAGTGGGGAGCAGTGCCCCCTCCCCCCGGCCCCAGATCTCTTAGCATAGTTTCACTTCCTGGGCAGCTAAGCCGTTGTGCATGGAGTTCCTTTAATTTCCATTTCCTTGACACTTGCTGAGGGGGACTCCAAGTCCCTCCTACACCCGCCCTAGGAACTGGAGCCAGGTGCTCTGGGAGCCCCATGGGCCAGTCTCCCCCTTTCTACCACCAAAGTCTGCTTGCTTCTGAGGCAGGACTCAGTCTCACAAGAAGAGGCCATGAACAGGCAACAGGGGACGGTGGAGAACCCCCTGAACAGCCATGAACGAACTGGCACCTGTGCCAAATGTAACCCAGGAGGGACACTGGGCCTCCTGCCTGTTGGGGGAGTCACCTGTCAATGCCACCTGAGGCTCCCCACTGGCTATGCCTTGCCCAAGTGGTTTTGGAAAAGGAAAGTCCTGCTTCCCAATCAGAGATAAGCAAAATGTCAACAGTAGGCTACATAAAGGAAGGTATGTTCCCATAACAGAACACCCACAAGAGTCACAAAAACGATCCAGTGCTTCTCGATACCGCAACACAATGAATCTCCCAAAGATACCACTGAGAAAATTCTTACCAGGCACGGGAGTGTGTGTTCTAGAATCTGTCTATGTAACACACATAAGCAGGCAAAACTGCTTTATGGTGTCAGAAGACACGACAGTGATTTTCTATGGTGTCGGAAGACACGACAGTGATTTTCTGTGGTGTCGGGAGACAGGACAGTGATTTTCTGTGGTGTCGGGAGACAGGACAGTGATTTTCTGTGGTGTCGGGAGACAGGACAGTGATTTTCTCTGGCACCACAGGTATTCGCTGGGATGGGTGGGCTTCCGGGATGCTGGTCATGTTTTAATTCTTACCTGGGTGCTGGTTACACAGTGTATCGACTCTGAAAGTCATCAAGCTGCCACTTCATCATCTGTGCACTTCTTTGTATGTGTGTTTCAACAGCGTTACACTGAAGCTTGCTTTTATAGAAATCTACTACATACAAAGAAGCCAGCTCCCTCCTTCTTCATGCTACAGCAATCCATCCACTTTTTGCTACATCTTTTATCTTCTAAATTAAGGAAGGAATGTGACTGCTATGTAAGTCCTGTACCTTGATCACAGGGACCCGAGGTTTGAACCTGGAGGACAGCTGAGTGAGGACCTCGCCAAGTAACTGCTGGTGTTTCAGAACCTTCCTCATCTTCATGATTCTCACGATGGCCGCCTATGCAACCAGATAAGGAAAAAGAGGTGCATTTAGAGCTGTAATAACTTAGTACTGACAGTTAAGGGCAAGCCGCACAGAGGCTGCCAATGCTGCGCACAGGATCACCATTTCCTAACAGGCAACAAGCGTCCTGCCGGTGAGACGGGAGAGGGAACCAATTCTACTCGTCTATGTTTCAACTCTAACGTGGCAAACATTACAATGTTTTGGTCTTTTGAGCAATGTTACCTCAATAATTTAACTCAACCATAAAGCATTAAAAAAAGGAGACAAAATTAAGTCTTCAAGGCCGCGGAAGCTGCCCATCCTCCCCACTGAAGCACTCGCCTTTCCCCTCGTTTCAGCTGGGCCTGCCACAATGTCTGCTTTCCAACATTTAGAGCAAGAGGACTGCCCTGTTTTGCCTGGTGACATAAAGGACTAATTCAGATAACAAGGCCCTGGCTCTCGGCCTTGCCACCTTCTGCCATCACAGAGCCATTCATCTGGCAATCACTCCTGAGTCACCCCTGCTCCCCCACGGCCCGTCCTTGCGAGCCATCCCTGCGTGAGGGACCGCACACCCGGCACAGGCATACAGGAAGTCACCTGAATCAGTAGTTTGCGGTCTTCCTCGATATTTTTGTGTGTGGTTTCTTGTTCCTGCTTCTGTTCGGTTTTCATTGGCACATTGATGTTAACCCTTAATTTCTTACTATCAAGAAAATGGAGGAAACCGATCACTATTATGTTAAAAGGTAGGCAATGAAAGCTGCTTTCTATTTGTCAACCTTTAAGAAGTGCCCTGCTTCCCCAGACACAGGGGAGTGTTGATTTCTGTGAGCTCTATGTGAAAACGCCTCTACCCAGCACTGGGCAGAGTCCGATCACAGCGTAGTTTCCTACTTGGCCATTAACAGGGACATCCACGTTACAGAAAATCCAGGTCCTTAATCTGCTCTCCCAAATTTTGTCAAGTGAAATAAAATCAAGCCACTTGGACATAAAGGTCCAAACTTTCCTGATGAACCATCTAAGGAGACTTATGTGCCAAATAAACAAAAAACCCAGCAGCTCAGAGTTGGAGAAACATCAGGCTTGCTGAATGGAATCGAAGGCCTACCTCACACTCCCAGCCTAGTGCCTGTCGCTTCATACTGAGTCCCCGTCTCCCTCGGTTCACAACAATACTGAGATCTGTGCTAGGGCTCCCGGGGGACGTGTCTATGGTCTAGGGCCATCTATTTATTAGATTTTTCTTACTTTTTATAACCAAGATATAATTTTATTAAGGTATCTGGCTTCAATTCCACTTCATCAACATTTGCATTTTCATCTTCCAAGACCTGTAAGAAAACAACTGTTACTACATAATCTCAGGAAAAGGCTTTCTTCTAGCATAAGACAGAAAGTGCACAAACCTACCAGTAACTTCGACTTTAATAAAATCTGTAGGACTTGCGCCAAAATGTCCTGCAATTAAAGAGAAAAAGAGGAAGTTAAAGGGACAATGCATTTTTCTTTGCAATAACCACCACAGGCAACCTCACGGTCCATTTTCCACTAAAAAAAAAAAAAAAAAATCACCCAAAAAGAAGAATATGCTGGAAGGAAAAAAAGTTCGTACTTCTTAGAAGTTCGCTAAATTTACTGCTTCCTTCCACCCTGACTCGTGGAAGTGAAATCAACCCCTTTCTGGCCTTGACCACCCAATAATAAAAATGAACAATTCTGTTATACTTAAATCAGGTTGAGTAACCCTTATCTGAAATGCCTGGGACTAGAAATATTTGGATTTCGGGATACTGTACTGGATTTACGGATTCAGCAACCCTGATTGGAAAATCCGACATTTGAACTGCACCATGAGCACTTTTTTTTTTTTTTTGAGCATCATGTTGGTGCTCAAAAACGTTCGGATTCTGGAGCATTCTGGAATCTCGATTTTTGGATTAGGGATGTTGAACCTGTATTGGAAGCCACGCACAGTGAAATCTTGAGGAACCTCTTCACTTCTTAAGTGCCTGACAGCTCATCTTGGACACTGATCATCACAAAAGAAATATTAAAGAGCTGCTCAGCAGGACTGGAAATAATGTCCTGCTCATGAGAACGATGGGGCTCAGCGGCAGGCGACCTCGTCAGCTTGGCTTTGATGCACTCAAGCACGTTGTGTGGCCTCTCATCTGTGAACGCTGGGTGTGGTAAACGCTTCCCAGCCCTCCTTCAGCCTCACAGCTTTATGATCCCATGAAATCCAAGGGGACCAGCCTGAGGGCACTCACAGTCACACGGACTCTTACAACCCACGGAGAGTGGAGTCCTGGCATCATAATGGGTACCCATTCTGGTCTGAGGGTACGTGGTTAAAGCTGTCAAAGCGAGAGGCCTCTCTCTAGTCTAGTAACTGACCCAGAGCTGCACAGCAGCCATTCCAATACTGCCAGCTGCATCTAGAGTAGGGTGCGGGGGTGCCCACCTCCTGAGCCAGGTCTGATTGGACAACGTCTGCTGTAGGCAGAAAGGAGAGAGCAGCTGCAGCCTCCTGAAGGAGTTCTAACGCTGAGAACCAGTCCGGAGAGTGGCCGAGAATCCTGATCAGAAGAAGCCAAGCAAAGACTGGACAGTCACCCCTGTCAGCCCTGTCCTCAGGGCCCGTCTGCACAGCCCTCCCCACAGTCTAGGGGGCAACCCAGCCTCCAACCTACAAAGGCACAAACTCATTTTGTTATGAGAATTTGAAGATATATTTGGCAGTAATTTGAAGAATGACTACAAAATAGTCATTCAAAATGACTTTCCTAACTCAGTCCATAAGGCCAGTATTAGCCAGACACTAAAACCAAACGAACATCTTGAGAAAACAATAGAGCAATGTCCCTTATGAATATAAATGCAAAACTCGAGAAAACACCGGCAAGCTAAACCCAACAACATAGAAAAACGATTAGATACCATGACCAAGTGGGATTCACCCTAAAAACACCAGGGTAGTTCAACATCAGTGCAATACACCATGTTAACAGACAAAAAAAGCACAGTTACTTTGACAAAGTAGAAAAAGCATTTTGACAAACTACAACACTCTTTCATGATACAAAATTCAATAAACTAAGAATAAAAGGGAACCTCTTTAGTCTGATAACGGACATCTAGTAAAAACTCACAGCTAACACCGTCACTGTTTAACATCGCAGTTAAACAGTAAAAGACTAGAAGCTTTCCCAGTAAGGGCAGTAACAAGACAAGGATGCTTGTTCTTACCACGTCCATTCAACAGTGTACCACAAATTCCAGCCAGAAGAATCAGGCAAAAACAAAGACAAACAAACAAGAAATAAAAGGCAGCCAAATAGGAAAAGGAAGAAGCAAAACTGTATTTATAAGTATGGCTGTATATCAAAAAACTCTAAAGAATCCCCCCCAAAACTATTTGAGCTAATAAATTAGAGCCAATAAACCTTTAGCAATGTTATAGAATCAAAATATAATGAGTTGTATTTCTATACATTTGCAGTGAGCAATCAGAAAGTGCACCCGGCTGACATGGTAGCTCATGCCTGTGTAATCCCAGCACTTTGGAAGGCCAAGGTGAAAACGTCACGTGAGTCCAGGAGTTCAAGACCAATCTGGGCAACACAGTGAAACACCATCTCTACAAAAAATACAAAAATCAGCTGGGCATAGTGCCAGCTACTCCGGCAGCTGAGAAGAGAGGATCATTTGATACTGCAGTGAGCTGTGACTGCACTATTACACTCCATCCTGAGCAAGAGTGAGACCTGGTTTCAAAAAAAACCAGAAAAAAGTGAAATTAAGAAAACAATTCCACCAGGCGCGATAGCTCACGCCTGTAGTCCCAGCACTTTGGGAGACCGAGGCAGGCAGATCACCTGAGGTCAGGAGTTCGAGACCAGCCTGGCCAACATAGTGAAACCCTGTCTCTACTAAAAACACAAAAAATTAGCCAGGCATGGTGGCTTGTGCCTGTAATCCCAGCTACTTGGGAGGCTGAGGTGGGAGAATTGTTGGAACCCGGGAGGCGGAGGTTGCAGTGAGCCAAGATTGCACCACTGCACTCCAGCCTGGGAGACAGCGCAAGACTCTGTCTCAATTAAAAAACTAAAAACCAATTCCACTTACATTAGCATCAAAAATAATAAACTAGGAATAAATTGACAGTAATACAAGATGCATACACTGAAAACCATGAGACACAGTCGAAAGAAAAGACAACCTAAATAGATGAAAAGACATCCAATGTTCATGGAATGGGAGACTTAAAATACTGTTGAGATAGCAACACTTCCCAAAGCAATCTATAGATTCAGTGCAATCCTTATCCAAATCTCAACTGTACTTTTTGCAGAAATGGACAAGCTGATCTTGAAATTCATAAGGTAACATAAGGGACTCACAATAGCCAATATAATCTTGGGGTGAAAAAACAAAGTTAGGGGTCTCCATTTCAAGATTTACCACAAAACAATAGTAATCCAGATAGTGTGATACTGACATAGTATAGATATACAGATCACTGGAAAAGAATTGAGAACCCAGAAATAAAGCCATGTATACCTATGGCCAATTGACTTTTGACAAGTCTGTCAGCACCAAACAACGGGGAAAGAACAGTCCTTGGCCTCAGACTAGGCAATGATTCCTTAGAAATGACACCAAAATCACAAACAGCAAAAAGAAAAAATAGATAAAATAGGCTTCATTAAAATTAAAAATGTGGATATAAGAAAGAGAGTAAGAAGACAACCCACAGAACGGGAGAAAATGTTTACAAATTACGTATTTGATAAGGATCTAGTATACAGAATATTAAAAGAATTTTTAAGTCGAGCCAGCGTCGCCGTGATGGTGTTGTTGGACAGCGAGCAGTTCCTGACGGAGCTGACCAGACTTTTCCAGAAGTGCTGGACGCCGGGCAGCGTCTATATCACCTTGAAGAAGTATGACGGTCGAACCAAACCCATTCCAAAGAAAGGTACTGTGGAGGGCTTTGAGCCCGCAGACAACAAGTGTCTGTTAAGAGCTTCCGATGGGAAAAAGAAGATGAGCACTGTGGTGAGCTCCAGGGAAGTGAGTAAGTTTCAGATGGCTCATTCAAACCTACTGAGAGCTAACATGGATGGGCTGAAGAAGAGAGACAAAAAGAACAAAACTAAGAAGACCCGAAGCAGCAGCAGCAGCAGCAGCAACAACAGCAGCAACAGCAGCAACAACAGCAGCAACAGCAGCACAGTAAAGGGCACAAATTTCCTGCTTTCACCAATTAACCACTGAATTGCTATTTTTTCCTTTTGGCCACATAGCTAAGTTTCTGGTTCCCCCACAGTAGGTGTTTTCACATAAGATTAGGGTCCTTTTGGAAAGAACAGTTGCAATGTTTATAGGGTAGTTGTGGTAAGAATCTAGTTTATTTTGCAGTTGGCTAATTGGTCTGTGTTGCATGGTTATATTCTCCTGGATTATAGATTAAAAGTCTCTGTAGACATCTCTGTGAAGAGCAAGCTATCATTAAACATGTCTATCAAAAAAAAAAAAAAAGAATTTTTACAACTCAACAACAAAAAGACAAATAACCCAACTGAAAAACGGGCAAAGAATTTGATCAAACATTTCTCCAAAGAAGATATGCAAATGGCCAGTAAACACAAAAAAGATTCTAAACATCATTAGTCGTTAGAGAAATGCAAGTAAAAACCACAAGATACTACTTCATACCCCTGGGATGGCTATAATTTTTTTAAAAAAAGAAAATAACAAATGTCGGAGAGGATCTGGAGTAACTGAAAACTTCACACACTGTTGGTGAGAACATGAAATGGCACAGCCACTGTGGAACAGTCTGGCAGTTCCTAAAAAAATTCACAGTGATTACATGACTCAGCATTCTATACCTAGGCATACACCCAAGAAAACTGAACACATGTACTCACAGCGGCATTGTTCATCATTGGAAACAATTCAAATGTACATCAACTGATGAACAAATAAAACATGGTCCAGCCATACATTGGATTATTCGACCACAAAAAGAAATGAAGTACCAACACACGCTATAACATAGGCAAAACCCTGCAAACCGTATACACTAAGGGAAGGAAGACAGGCACAGAAAGTCATGTGTTATATGATTCCATTTATATGAAATGTCTGAAGCCCGCAAATTAATAGTAAATTAATGGTTGTCAGGGGCTGGGAGCTAGTCGGTAGTTACTGCTAATGGGTGCAGGCTTCTTTTCGGGATGATAAAACCTTCTGGAATTGGATAATGGTGGTAGTTCTATAAGCTTGTGAATATACTGAATACCACTGTGGACACTTTAAAATGACTTTTATGTTATGTGAAATTTTATCATCTGAAATATATCTCAATAAAAAATATGACTAGCAGGAAAAATAATACTAAGGTGGAAATTTAAGCTTAGTAAGAAAAGCCTAGCTGGAGAAACAGTTAAGAACTGGTTAAATGAACGAGGGAAATGCATGGATGAGGAGTATGTGTGTGTTACACCGAGTTTTATTTTTAAGAGACAGGGTCGGCCGGGCGCGGTGGCTCAAGCCTGTAATCCCAGCACTTTGGGAGGCCGAGACGGGTGGATCACGAGGTCAGGAGATCGAGACCATCCTGGCTAACACGGTGAAACCCCGTCTCTACTAAAAAATACAAAAAACTAGCCGGGCGACATGGCGGGCGCCTGTAGTCCCAGCTACTCGGGAGGCTGAGGCAGGAGAATGGCGTAAACCTGTGAGGTGGAGCCTGCAGTGAGCTGAGATCCCGCCACTGCACTCCAGCCTGGGCGACAGAGCAAGACTCCGTCTCAAAAAAAAAAAAAAAAAAAAAAAGAGAGACAGGGTCTCTGTCACCCAGGCTAGAGTACAGTGGCATGATCATAGCTCACTGCAGCCTCGACCTCCCAGGCTCAAGTGATCCTCCCACCTCAGCCTCCCAAGAAGCTGGGACTACAGGCATGTGCCACCATGCCTGGCTCAACACTGAGTTTTAAAATTAAGACTTTTATAATGCGCATTAAAATCCTGGAATAAGAACATATTCATATTCATGAGGCAAACATCTATTTCAAATGAAAGATGCCCATATCCTCTCCCTTATCTTTCCTAACAATATCCACGAGAACAAGGAAATGGCAACTCGATAGAACAAAGAGGCTGAGATGAGAATACCATTTTAATCTGAGTGCTGTCGGTCAGCTGCTGCACGGTATAGGCATCTTCCGTGTTGTACTGAAGCAGGATGGCCATCTGGAATGTAGATGCCTTTGAGGCCCCCCATAGAAAAGAAAAAGAAGGAAAACTTAAATGCATGGAAACACCTCCAAAAATATATAGCCTAAGTCTGAAGAACTTATTTATGAAACAAATTCTTTAAACAAGTACAAACAAAGTGCAGATCTATTTAAAAGGGAATATAAAACGTGGCAATGCCACCACAATGCAACATCTTCCCAAAGTCATTCATCTTCCATGTTTTCAAACATTAAAATAATTTGAAGTTTTTTCAAAAAATGTATTGTCTATGTGGATATATACTATAGATATGTATGTCCCCACTTGTTTATAGAGAAAATCACATATACACACACCTGGTATATGTGGACATGTTAAGCATCAATCTCCAAATCTGTTTTTGGCACATGAGCTAAGAAGTATTATCTTTTGGCACATTATTGATGTAAAACAACACAAATATCAAATTATATTTGGTTTTCTAATCTTAAGTACTTTACTATGAAAGTAGGAAAAAAGTAAGTAAAGTATGAAATGGCAAGTGCACTAAAGGTTTTCTTTTTTTGAGACAAAGTCTTGCTCTGTCACCCAGGCTGGAGTGCAGTGGCACAATCTCAGCTCACTGCAACCTCTGCCTCCCAGGTTCAAGGGATTCTCCTGCCTCGGCCTCCCGAGTAGCTGGGACTATAGGCGAGCACCACCACGCCCAGCTAATTTTTGTATTTTTAGTAGAGATGGGGTTTCACCATGCTGGCCAGACTAGTCTCGAATCCCTGACCTTGTGATCTGCCCGCCTCGGCCTCCCAAAGTGCTGGGATTACAGGCTGAGCCACCGTGCCCGGCCCTAAAGTATCCTCTAAAGACAGGTAGCACGCGTTGGTTCCTGATCGCTGAGCGTGTGCGAGCGAATGAATGCTCCCTGAAGACTCCTTCCTCTCTTCTCCCTCTTTTCTTGCATAATCGACAGCAACAAGTAATGACCCATGACTGTCAGCCACTGCTCGCCCAGGCAAGACCTCAGTCAATGAAAAGAGAAACAAACAAAAAAGGCCACAAGCCCGTTTCAGGGGGGCCCACAGACAACAGTGCTTCCAGGGCCTGGGACAGAGACACAAGGGAATGAGTGTGTTGCTAATGTCTTCTACTGGGCCCGCTCCTGGCTGCCTTAACATGGCAGACACACCCTAGGCAAAGCCTCCGCCTTGTCAAAAACTGGACACTGAAATTCCAGGTACTAGAGTCGAACACATGGATTCTTCTATGAATATTTGGGGATAAATGAAACAAAATTTCAATTATATAGTAAGAAACATTCAACTTGATAAAGACCTCTGGAGCCAGTGTAACAATACTATGCATTTGAACAATTTTAAGTTGGAGTAGATTTACGAAAAGTTTAAATTAATGAGCAGCTTGAGTCTGCAGAACAACCCATTCTGAAGTTTATTAATACTTAAACATAGACTTGCAGTTGTTCTCAGAAGTTTATTGGTGAAACCTTCTCAGAGACTAAAATATGCCGTTACTTGTGAAGCCCACTCTGTACAAAAGTGGAAGTAGAAAGAGCCTGGACTTTTTTTTCTTTTTACTTTAAAAAATTTATAGAGATGGGATCTTGCCATGTTGTCCAGGCTTGTCTCAAACTCCTAGCCTCAAGCAATTCTCTGGCCTCAGCCTCCCAAAGTGTTAGGATTACCAGCAAGAGCCACCACACCAGCTAAGCCTGAACTTTAAGAGAAAAGACTTTAACTGAAATTTTGGCTCAGCTACAGATAAGCTAGGATTCAGAGAAATTCACTTCAATTAACCCAAGCCTCAGTTTTCTCACCTGCAAAATGGAAATATTCTTAGTTACACAGTTATAAACTAGGTTGTACTCAATATCGTTGTAAGCACTGTTGTTAATGTGAAACTGCTTTGTCAAAGGTGGAGAGCTGTTATAATTAAATGCACGCAACTCCAGCGTTTTAAGCCACTACCTGAACACTTGATGTGTGTCCGGCAGGAGCCATGCCAAACACTTACCAAATACGTTAATTTTCACATCAATTCCCATGTATAAGCACTAACATCCCATTAATGGAGGAGAAAACTGAGGTTCACAATCATTAAATAACTTGTTCCCCAGCCAGAAAGAATTGGAGTTTGGCTCCTCTGATTCTTACAACTCCATGTTTTAAACCTGCCACTATTTCACCAGAAGCTGAATTCTAGATTCTGCTGCTGAGTCAGCTGCTAATGATCTCTATAATTTGCCTTACGTTCATTTAGAACAGAAGCATTTTAAGACACAAACGTGATCTTACCTGCAAAGTATATCTGTTTTTGAAGCAGTTAGTTACCAATTCTCCTTTAGACAACTGATATAACCACGTCAATTTTCGGCCACTGTGGCGGCTGGCGTAGAAAGCTGTGAATCGCTGATAACTACGTTCCAACTAGATAAAAGGACAGCATTATATGGAATACAGATCTCACCACGTCCTACAGGCAGTGTTTCTAAGCAAAGCACACTGTTCCAAGCTTACGGTACAAAGTCAGTGCTTATATAAAAGTAAAATACAAACGCCAGGTGTCTGCCTCTCTTGTAAAGCGCTTTAAGCACTGGAAGGTACGATCTTAAAAAAGGTTCATACTTCAAGACCAGCAGGTTTGTCAAGGTGTTCATTACACAACTAATTAGGTTCTAATTACAATAAAGAAACATGTCTGTAGAGTTGGCCAGCCAGCCCACCTTTAGACATCCAGACCTGCCCCACTGCACAGGGCTCTTCCCTGAGAGTTGCCCCCACGGTTCACTGTGACGCAGCCAGCCGGCAGGAAGGCCATCTGTAGGCCTATCCCCTTCCACAGTGAAGGCTGCCCCGCCCCACCCTCCACTTAGCACTAATGGGACGGCAGATAAACCCATCCTCACCTCTGACGGCAAGGCGAACGTACAAGACTGCTGGAAGGGCCAGGACCCGGAGCTCAGCACTTGAATGCTGAAGTCCACTGGGGGGCGGAAGAGAGGGGAGAGTGAACATTCTGGAATACATTAATTAGTTTATAAATTGAAAAATTCAATCATTTCAGATGAATGTGGATTGCTCTTTATTAAAAAGTACATTAAATAAAAATCCTGCTTGAATATAAAATTAAGAATTGAACATTTTATTCAATTAAAATTAGCAAAAAGTGCAAGAGCCAGATATTCTTTTCTTCCAAAGAGTGAGAGTCTTCATTTCGCTTCCACCTCGGAATTCTGCTGTCACATGCCTGCCCTGCTTCCCCTGCTTTCCTTTTCAGTCCTGAATCACTGAGTCCACTCAAGCCACGCCTGGGCTTGCCACGCCCGGCATCATCACAGCCCCAGACTCACGGAAACTCACAAGCAGGAGAAAACTGCTAACTTCAGTACAGTGTGTGTTTCAGTTATTACTGTGAAAAGACACACATGGTCTATAAATTATAACAGTCATTTCATCTTCACAGATAGTTAAAAAGCCCACTGGCAAAACTGTCCAGGTTTACAATGGAATTGTTATCCTGATTTGGGAAAAATAAAACACTCCATTTTTCACTTAAAAAGACAAAGATGATCAAAAGATGATATAAGCATAAATCTGCCATCCAACTACTATGCGAGGCCTTAAAATACCAGCCCAGCTGCCTCTCCTGGAGAACCGAATCACCTATATCTGCCTGTACTGATCCCTAATCCCAGTCTGAAGCCACAGGTCTTTAGCTTGACTGTTACCTATGCAGGCCAAGGGAACATTAAAATAAATGCTAGAATGGATTCAAGCTAAGGTTTACTACAAGATAAAACCACGCCTGTGAGTCCCTCCCCAGATCCCAACAGGTGGTGACCTCGCCCCAGCACAGCTGACACCAGTTCAGGGGCTGTCATCTCCTGAGGTCACACGGGAGTTGGGGGAGGAGGGCTGGGCATTTGGGAAGAATCTCCTGATTCTTAGTTCTCGAATTTCTGACAAAGTCCCTCCCATCTTCACCCAATACTTTGTCATTTCTTCATTTGCTACAAAGAACTCTGCCCGTAAACACGACAGACAGACACGCGGATACTCACAGTCTAGGGGTTCAGAATTTGTCAAGTGCTTTTTGAACTGCTCGTTCAGATCTTTGCTCACGCCAATATCTTGAAACATGCGCTGAAGTTTAGAGGTGTACTCGAACCCGCAAGCTTGCTGAGAAGAACCCAGATGACTGTCTTATTAATTTGTACAAAAATATAAATGTATACAAGGGACTCTTAGAGAAATCAGAGTATACAATATATAATTATATGGAACTACTAGCAAAGCTAGTAACATTTTGCTATATTTTACAGTACAAATATGCATGGATTAATATTAATACACTGTCGAAAACCCCACAACTCTATGTTGCACAGTGAAGTCTTCGCACACACAATTCATACACAATTTATGAGCATCTAAGAGCAAGGTGTCCTGGCACTATGGTAGAATACAGTGATGAAATAATTGGTCTCTATCTCTTACCAGAAACTGAACTGTGTGCCCCCAAAATCCCTGTGTTGAAGCCCAAACCTCCAATGTGATGCTATGTGGAGGGATGAGGTCTTGAACGTGGGGCCTCACAACGGGACTGGTGTGCTTGTAAGAGACGCAGAGGAGCTCTGCACTGTCTCTGCCACGTGAGGCACCGCAAGAAGGTGGCTGCCTACACAGCAGGAAGAGGGCCCGCACCAGGAACCGAATCAGCAGGCACCCTGATCTCGGACTTGCAGCCTCCACAATTGTGAGAAACAATTTCTGCTGTTGAAACCACCTGGTCTATGGTATTCTCTCACGGCAGCCCACGCTGACAAAGATACCCACATAATTTCGGGTCACAGTAAAATATGCTCCAAGTCAGATAAGAGCAGTTGACAGTGCTGACACACAGGTGCGCAAAGGAGGTGGCGGAGGAAGAGCTGCTGACAGCAAAGTAACCAAGCCCAGAGCAAACAAAACCTCCACTCAGCTCCAGGCCAGCACAATGTGAATGCGCTCCAAGGCCAAAGGTGTGGGAGGCAGGAGAGGCCCCACAGATGGTGAGCTGAGCCCAGCCAGGCCTGGGTAGGATGGAAGCCCCACGGTCGGGGGGGGGGGGGGGGGGTTGGGGGGAAGGGGTCTGGAAGGCACTGGGGCCCAACAAGAGTAGAGCGATAGTCGTGGGAAGCTTTCAGAAGCGCAGCGGCAGAGCTTCTTGTACAAACCACTGCACAAACTCCTCTGCCTGCCTCATAACATGGACAGACTAAGAGCTGTTTTAATAATGACTCGGAAGCTGGGATTTTTCAGGAAGATGAAACTCACCTTTAACTTGGAGATCATGCTGGCTTCGGCATCGTCACTCGCGCTATTCTGATGGACGAGCCTCTTGGCGAGCATCTTCGCGTAGAACTTCTGAAATACGTCTTTGTCTTCTATGTACTTGAAGACAACCATCTGGCAAAGCCACCGAGACAACACACTTAACAAGCACACACACAAGCCCACAGTGCAGAGCCGACTGTCACCGGCCACAAGCCAGGAGCCAAGATGTGCCCTTGGCTTTGGGCAGGTCTGTACGCCAGCGTTTATGATGGCAACAACTCCACCCCAGAGTCCTGAAAGTTTTGTGAATCCCTTAATTCAGTGAGTTGGACTATTACTGAGAAAAGTCTGAATGCTAAAAGTAGTAACTCAATTTAGGAAGTAAAACCATAGATTCAAAATAAAATCAATGATTATTACTTTTTACATTTCACAGGCCCTCTATAAATAACATGACAAACAGCTTGTGAAATACACAGCTACTGGAAATGGATATGATCATGAAGCACTTACCACTTGATTGAGTGTGTCCTCTAGTTCTGCCTCCTCTGGGTTCTTGGAACTGAAAATTTAAAAAAGATACCATGTTTTAAAACATCAGTACATTTAAACAAGCACCACTCAGCCAGAAAGCAGGTTCAAGCATTCAAAAGCTCAGTTCTCATCAGATTAGTGCAGAGGAAGAGGGAAGGTTGACTTTCCTTACAAATTGGCAATCTCATACCATAACCTCATCATTGAAGAACAGATTATGAAATAGTCATTTAGAATATCCAATAGGAGGTGAAAACTCCTATAGGAGATATTTGTAATAGGTGAATAGATATATATAATATATATATATAATAGGTGATATTAGACCTATTAGATATTAGACCTAATAGAATATATATAATAGGTGAAAACCAATAGGAGATATTTATAAAACGTTTCCAAAAACATTCTGAAGAAGTTTGCCTTTAAGATAATCCACTTAAACTTCAGTAAAGGAAATTCACTTTACCAATTGCTTTCTAGTCCGCTGTAATTTAACTTTGGAGAAATAAAAAGGCACATAGATTCCCTTTCATGGCCCAGTCATTAAAGATAATGAAGGGGTTTAAATTCCTACTAAACTGCTGCCCTCTGTAGTTATATGTACAAGAGATGATTGTCCTTTGACAACTGATTCACTCTATGAACAAACAACAATTCAAAGGTGACTTAAAGGTAGATGAAGTTTTGTACAGGTCTTTTCTACAAGACCGCTTTAGAAACAACACCCCTGATTCATAGAAAACGAATTGGCCACCACAGAAACTCTGAAGACGTGTCTCCAACTGGAGAAGAGGTGTCTCCAACTTGAGAACAGTTGGTTCAGAAAACCCAGCCCTATTCTTGGCACTCTTGGGTCAGGGGTGTTCCTCTTCCCTTGGAGCAGTTTAACTTAGTGTCGTCTCCCTGACTCCACTCGCCGCACACACACTCGTTAAATAGATGCTGTGGAAATGTCTCTGCCATTCTGTCTGCATCAGTGGCCTCACCCAGTAATCAGTAGACTTGACGAGGGACATTTATGAAAAGACAAGGGATAAAAAGGACACTAAGGCCAGGCACGGTGGCTCACACCTGTAATCCCAGCACTTTGGGAGGCTGAGGTGGGTGGATCACTTGAGGTCAGGAGTTGGAGACGAGCCTGGCCAACATGGTGAAACCCTGTCTCTACTGAAAAAAAAGAAAAAAAAAAATTTAGCTGGGTGTGGTGGCATGCCTATAGTCCCAGCTACTCAGGAGGCTAAGGCATGAGACTCGCTTGAACTCAGGAGGCAGAAGTTGCAGCGAGCCGAGATCATGCCACGGCATTCCAGCCTGGGTGACAGAGTGAGACGAAGTCTCAAAAAAAAAAAAAAACAACACCAAAAACACCCATGATACTAAGTGTTCTGTCAAACAAACTGAAGACCCAGTAGAGTATCTCCATAGTCATAATATGCAGCCCCCCAGAATGAAACCAAGTCATAAGAGGCCTTCCAATTTAAAGCCCCTTCTCATTTCTGGAGAAGATCTGACTTGTTAAATTATACACTAAACCAGGAATAAATATTCCTGTTTATTGCAATAAACAGGAAAAAAAAAAAAAAAATCAAACACTCAGAGTTTCTCACTGGCCTTGGGTAAACTGGGTTAAGAGAAAGCTATTGACTTTCATCAAATGTTCTCCCATCATTTACCAGAAAGGCCACATAGTTTTTACACAGTTTTCTGTTAATGTAGTAAACTACATCAGACTTGCTACTGCTGGGTTATCCTGACGTTCCTAGAAAGCTATACTATGTTTTGAAGAATTATTATTTAGTTCACAGGTAAATTTGGCTTGTTAATATTTTACTTAAGATTTCTGCAACTCTACTCTCAAGTGACACTTGTTCGTAGTCTTTTCATTCTGGTATGTGCGGGTGTTCTCGGTCTTTTTTGTATTGGGGTTATGCTAGCCTTCAAGAGCTGTTTCAAATATAATTTATTAATATCAAAACCAGTATAATTTGGGAGTGGGGAAAACTTGCAACAGAAAGTCAGAAGGAGATTGGCTTCCTTCATTAAAATCTTTAAAACGTATTGTTGTGATATCTGGAGTAGAGCATCTCTAAACTGAAAGAAACTTGAAGTGAAAGAGAAGCTGAGAGAAATCAGAACACACAAACAAAACAATCAGTGAGAACTTCAAAACACAACGCAGAGGGGAAAGCTATATATTATCTTGCTTCCAGATCTTAATACACATACACTAATTAGAAAACATATCAATTGAGAAATAAGATTCAAAAGTAAAGAATATGAAACAGCAACAGAAACTCATCTAACAAAAACAAATTTAAAACTACACAGAACAACAAAGGTAATCTTCGGCCATACCACCCTGAACTGAACATGCCCGATCTCGTCTGATCTCAGAAGCGAACAGGGTGGGGCCGGGTTAGTACTTGGATGGAGAATAACCAAAGTCCCACAATACACTGAGACACCTTCTGTTTTCAAAACAGCCAGTGGGAGGGAATGCGGATTTTCAACCGGAAAGATGATTACGTTCGAGCATTTTCTCATGAGGCACAAAATTTACAATTTAATGTATGTAAAATGTAATGTAAGTTTTAATTCCTCATATAAAAGCTGAAATTTTAAACAGGCAGACTAAGAAAACATAGGGTCATTTAATACCTTTTCTTCAACAAGGAGTCACAGTATCGAGCCAGCAACTCAGGGGATTTACTGGATGACTGGGCCATCTTGGTAACTGCATTGTTGTTTATGAAGCGACCACAAGCCTGTGTTACACAAAATACAGTTAGAGACAAACGCCCCATCCACATATACTACAGGCAAGTCACAACCGTCACACACCTACCTTATCGAGAGCAGCCACAAAGCCAGCGTCATTGTTGAATGCAGACATTACCAGGGCATTGTATTTTTTATGAACATCAAGCACTGTCTGTACATACATTTTGGGGTCCTTAAATGGGGGCAGAAATAGAAACAAAAGGTGGTTATTGGGGATTAAATTGCGTATTAATGTATACAATGCATGTACTAGTATATAAAATATTCTAAAAGCTATAGATACCTTTTCAAAGTTAAGAAATAAGATCAAGAAATACTTTTGGTACCATCACTGAAACACATAGGACATTTTGTTTACATACATAAAAAACAATCTATTCTCCACACTCAAAACTAAATATTGATTTCGAGCTTGCATTAAAAACAGTGAAAACTCAAAGAGATCATGAAAACAGCATTTTCCAAGTGACAGTTCCGCTTTGCCAATTTCTCCTTGTTAAAACAGTCTGGACTGTTTCAGCTGGAGAAGGCCTTTAGCTGCCGAGGTCGGTCATCAGCCCGGCTGGGCAGGCAACCGAGGGAAAGCGGGGCTCAGGGCGCGAGTCTGACTGCTCCCCCACCCACTGTAAACCAGAGGTGCAGATCTGCGTGGTGCTGCGGGGGGGTCAGGGCTTCACCGCAGGATGGGAAGAGGGGCAGAGCACGGCGCAGGGGAGCAAAGGGGCCTCCCCGCAACAAGGAACAACATGGAAATGCAACGCGAAGGCTGGCCGCAGAGGCTGCTGTGGCCAAAGGAAGGCAGCGACAATGGAAGGCAAAGGAGACTGAGCTAAGTGCTAACAAGAAAAAGAGCGCTGCTGCTGGGCATGCAGTGGACGCCACCACCACCCTTTATGGGGCCGCGACAGCCCACGCTGGGAAGCAGGTGCTGTTTTCATCCCCATTCTACAGATGAGGAACTGTCTGTCACAGCTAAGCACACTGCCAGGAACTGGCGGCAGAGACAGGCTTGGCTCCGGGCTGCGCGGGAGCCGAGCTGGGAAGGTTGGTGGGAGGGAGCTCCGGACCACCCCTAGCCAAGCACAGACCCAGGCGCTGGGGCATCCCCGTGTTTCCACAACACCGATCCATTAATCTGCAGGGCTCAGGTGCCAGAAATCAGCATTCCCAATCCTACCTAGTCTGCATTTTTTATAACATTTGATTGATTTACTTGTTTTTAAAAAATAACGTGTAAAAGTAAGGATGGTAAGGATGAATGATTTTTCTGCAACAGGGCTACACAAGGAGTGTCAGAAGTTTTCTGTTAAAAAAAGCTCTATATAATAAATGCAAGGTTTTTATTATTATGAATAGATTGTGACAAGTTCAATAAGATATAAATATGGTCTCCACCTGACATAAACATTTGATAAGAGAAAACATTAAAAGGGAACTTAATGCAAAATAATTGCCAAATAAAAATCACTTAATATTCAAAGGCAGTATTGCAGATATTTACTATTTTAAAATTACCATCTTAAAAATGTTAAAACACACAGAGCGTTAACTGCACTTCCAGATAGCCTTGCTCTTTGTTTCATGGCTATCCCAGACATAGGGAAACTTCTTCCACTTTGCCTGGATGGTCTTAATCTTCAGAGTGAACCAAAAGCACCTCCAAGTTGGGCCATATCTTATTTCATATAAGCTTGCTTCTTTTAAACAATGAAAATATTTTCTGCTTGACCTAATTGTGGTTTTGCCACTGAAACAGATATTGCTTCTGCCAATTCAGATTTTAGATCACTTTCAGATTTCACATCAAATTATTCCAGAACATTCAGATATACTTCTCTCTGCCTTCCTTCTGTTACAGTATTTACAAAGTGCTCCAGCCTACAGTGAGGATTCAAACACTGGAAAATGCTAGAAACGTTATTGGGTAGTTTTCGAATACGGTAACATGCAGGATCTCTTAACGAGTTAACAGCCCTACAAAGAACTGCATGTCAAAACTGCCAATTTAAGGACTCATGGAAGACCACTCACAGGATTTATGTGTAGCACGTTATGTATATAAATATTAATACTTATTTTATTTGCAAGAATGACTTCACCCTTAGCAGCAGAGGGGCTACAGACCCACCTTACAAGGCCTTGCCCCCCTGGCAGCCTGACCACTCAGCCTGCACGGCTTCCCTGCCACACGCCTTCACCCTCTTTCCCGAAAACGCCAGCCTCGACTTACTCCACGCTCTTGCTTGCGATCTGTCATTGGTGGACTCCTCTGAACCAGTGACATCTCTCTGTTGACTATAATGTTTCCAAATTATAATACTTTTCTGTATTTTCTCAAAACTTTTTGGCCATTTTTCGTCAGATTTGGAATTTGGAAAAATACCAATTTCCCAAGGAATGCCAGGAACAACTTCTCACATGGAAAGCCAAATCTCCAGGAGTAAAGAAGTCTTCAGACTCCAATTCCAAAATTCTTTCAACTACAGCAGTCTGGCTGGTGAGATGGGAGGACTTGCATGGAACCTACTAAGGGAAGTGTGTCAAAACACTGGCCTTGGCTGGGCTCAGTAGCTCATGCCTGTAATCCCAGCACTTTGGGAGGCCGAGGCGGGCAGATCATGAGGGTCAGGAGTTCTAGACCAGCCTGGCCAACATGGGGAAACCCCATCTCTACTAAAAATGCAAAAAAAATCAGCTGGGGGTGGTGGCGGGCACCTATAATGCCAGCTACTCGGGAGGCTGACGCAGGAGAATCGCTTGAACCCAGGAGACGGTGGTTGCAGTGAGCCGAGATTGCACCACTGCACTCCAGCCTGGGTGACAATGTGAGACTCTGTTTAAAAAAAAAAAAAAAAAAATCTGGCCTTGAAAATGTGAATTTAGCATTTGAGGTTCAGAGAAAAGCCATTTAGGAACTGGTCAAGGAGCAGACAAAGAACACACTAGAATAATATAAGGGAGAGAATTTTAAGGAAATAGAGAAAAGACGTCCAAAAGGTAAGTAGATTTAACATTCGGGAGGTAAACGATGAAGAGAGGTTACAAAACTGTAAGGAGAGAGATCAGCTGGATCAAATGGATGTTTTTTTTCAAGAAAACAAAGAACGAATGTTTGAGGTTTAAAAAAATAAGTAGTAATGGGTTTGACTCAGGACCCTCCATGTATTCACGGGAGCTTTTCACATGTAAGAAACAGGACATCTCCCAGGCTTGTCCCTCAGGGCTCATTCAACTGCTACATGATTGCAGTTGTTACACTGAGGACAGACACATTCACGTCTACACCAAACTTCCCCTAGGTGAGCCCACGTGGCCTGCCCTGGGTCATCATGGGATTCCCAAAGCCTTATGTTATCAATGGCCTGATCCGCTCCCCAGTCCTGCGTTCTCTGGAGCTCTTCTTGGCAAGTGCCACCACTCACCCAGCAGCTCAAGCCAGGGCCCCGGGACTCAGTTCCTGCTTTCCCATTCATGACTCCTGTGAATCAATCCACATAACCTGTCCATTTCTTTTCAACATTTTATTGCGGAAAAAATTCAAATATATTCACAATTAGAAAGAGCAGTAAAACTTACCCCATGTACTCATCATCCAGTTTTAACAACTGTCAAAACGCAAAACCTGTCAGTTACAAAGCCAGCATCTCTGCATCATTCTCTCCATTCCCCCCACGACCAGCCCAGTCTCCAGTGGGTCACTATCACTACCTGAACCATGACAACAAACCTAACTAACCTAACTGGCATACTTGTGTGTTAGTCAAGGTTCCCTAGAGGGACAGAACTAACAGGAGATAAATACATGGGAGTTTATTAAGTATTAACTTACACAATCACAAGGTCCTACAATAGGCTATCTGCAAGCTTAAGGAGAAAGGACAGCCAGTCCGAGTCCCAAAACTGAAGAACCTGGAGTCTGATGTTCAAGGGCAGGAAGCATCCAGCATAGGAGAAAGACGTAGGCTGGGAGGCTAGGCCAGTCTCACCTTTTCACGTTTTTCTGCCTGCCTTATATTCGCTGGCAGCTAATTAGATTGTACCCACGCAGACTGAGGGTAGGTCTGCCTTCCCCAGCCCACTGACTCAAATGTTAATGTCCTTTGGCAACACCCTCACAGACACGCCCAGGAACAACACTTTGCATCCTTCAATCCGATCAAGTTGACACTCAATATTAACCATCACAACTTGTAACAACTCTTCTTCCTTTTCACCCACTTTCTACATGGCAGCAAGCACATATATCCCGTCAATTCCATGACTGTATCACTCTCCACTGGTTTCCTTGAGACCTTAGGATTAAGCCAGTATCATCAACACGGCTTTCAAGGTCTCTCCTGGTCTGGCCAGCCCATGCTGCCTTCATGCTTACCTTCTACCTCAGGCCATACCTGGTTTCTTCGTTCTTAGAATGGGCTGTGTGTACGCCCACTGAGGGGCTTTGTTCTGTCTGGGATCCCCCTTTGCCCAGCTAGCTTTAATTCTTTTCTCCATCTCAAACACTTTTTTCAGGGACGCTTTCTCTGAATTTCCAAGATAGGCCGAGGCTGCCCTGTTAGATTACCCAAACCCCATCCCAACACTAATCACACCTGCCAATTCCTTGCTAATGGCCTTTCTTGCTGGGCACATCTCAGTGCTGCTCACTGGGGCCGTGTCTGCCTGCGACCACTGCCATACTTCTAAGTACCTAGTGAAGTGGCATTCATCAAATCATCTCCTAAATGGCTGAACCAGCAACATAATAATAATGATAACTGAATTACGAACTTTTATTCCATACATTTCCACTAAAAGGATAATTCTAAAAGCCAATTTCACGAAGAGAAAATACACGTTAAGAGTCTCACATAACTTTTTATCCTACTCTTTCTTAAAAAGGTAAACCAAATATGGCATACTGAGAGGTGTGAGGGCATCATCTCATGGAGAGTTGGTATATATTTACACACAATTTCTGGGGGTCAGTTGTGATCCTAAGTGATACTTTAACACTCAAAACACTTCCTAATAACCCAGCACCATTCAAGAATATTGCTAAAGAGGAATACTGGGGTGCTACAGGCTCGAGGGGAGCCTCCTTCACCATTTCGCGTACATAAACTGGTGCTCTCCAGGCTGAGGGGACAGATCTGACAGTCTGTGGAAAGCTGCTCTTGCCTACACTACCTC